TTTATAAAAAAAAAAACGAACACACACATAGGAGTTTTTATTAATCAATAGAGATTACAGGAGGTAGTGATTTGAAATCGACCCTCACAACAGAAAATCTTTTGTAGATATGTCGGAAAAAACTTTAATGACTGAATAGCTTACCAAAATTTTGTACAAAACTATTCGTTGTTGTAATATCACGGCAAGCTAGAGTAATATTATTTTGAAAAATGTTGCCTACATTTCGGCGCGCCTAAAATTTTTAGTTAATTTTTTCGTAGAAAAAGACAACATACAATAATTTCAATGGAACACAATTTTAGACCACAAAAAGCCACTTTAGACTAAAATGATTTCTTTCATTCACTTTTTGGAAAATCAACGCACTGAGCTTTTAAAAGTGTGGAAAAGCGAATTTTAATATTCGAAATACTTTCTACTTAGTCTAAATTAACTTTGTTGATCGTCCTCTTAACTTCTGTTATGGTTCGGAATTAAATATTTTTTTGTTGAAGACTTATGATTTCTACAAAAGTTATTCAAAAAAGTAAGTTTGCTACTTTTAACTCACTGTGCGTACGTGCTAACTTTATTTCCATTTTATAATTTCGTGACGACTGCAATTATTTTATAAATATTCTCAATACATATTCATAACGGCGTATATGTACTCATGTATGTATAAATGTTACGTTCTTTGCAATTTTGGTATTTCAATTAACTGTTCTGTTGTTATATCTTTACAATGTTTTTACTGTTTTTGCTTTTTTCTCCTCATTTCATTTATTATTCAACACTATTGTGTCTGACTGTGTACTGGTACTTGTCAAATAAGTTTACGTGCGGCGCTGTGGTTAGATAAATTAAAAACGAAAAACGCAAAGCAGATAACCAGCAAAAAATAGAATTGCTGGCGTGCAAATATAGCGAGCTGGCGAGTTGGCACACTAATTGACTGGCTGACTAACTGGCTGACAGGCTGACAAGCGCATTTGAATGGCTTTGCGTTGATCGTGACTCGCTTGATCGGCTGGCTGGCTATAACGCAATATGTGTTGCTGTTGTTGTTCGATTAACTGGTTGGATGTTTTCCATATTCAGTGCTTTTATTACCAAATATTTCACTCAATTCGTTTTGAATTTATTTTAATTTTATTTCAATTTTGTTTTTGTTTTTGTGTTTGTGTTTGGTTCCTCGCTTTGTTGCTCCGGCAGCTGCTCACCGACATGTGGATTTTTGGTACGCGGCTCAAGTAGCTGGGTGCTGCTGACTGGTGAGGTAATACCGGCCGAAGCTGGCGGAGCGCTGCGCTTGGGAAAACAAGTGCGAGTGCGAACCGCAGCGTTTGTCTTTGCTTTGGCGCCTTTTTGTTGTCATGTACATACAAGTATGTACCATATATGTATACCATGTGTGGCGTATTTGACATTTTGTTCGAGTTCGCGCTTTATGCTTTATTTAACGAACATTCTTTATGGTGCGCGCGCACGCGTAAATGTGTGTGTGTGTGTGCTTTTGCAACCTTTGTAGTATTTTTGCTTTGTGTGCGTGTGCGTGTCTGTGCATGTGTGAAGCACCTTCTTTATTGCTACTCTCCGCTCACCGCTCTTTCCTTTGCTACTTCACTTGAACACCACACATTATCGCCAACAAAGTCAACCAACTCGGTTTTGTGAGGTTCGCTGCTCGTTTCGAAGCTGTAAGCTGAGCGCAGTGCTTGTTGGCGTGGCTTAGCATTTGTCAGTCAACAATTGAAGTAGTTGTGGCGCGAAGTAGAGCTCAAGTGACAATTTCATATGCGCATTTGGAGCATAAGCAACGCAACAACAATACACTATACGTATAGTTACGAGCAACCGCAGTTGCTTGAGTGTGCGCGACATTGAAGTAAGGCGACCTTGACTTTAAAGTGATAACTCGCCGTCACAAAGCGCGGAAAAAAGTCTCACATTTAATTATTTTCGATACAAAATTTATCGGATTGGAATTAGTGATTGGTGGGCTGCTTTACAGGTTTTTTTTATTGATTGTGTTGGGAGGAAAATCATTTTTAAGATTTTGCAATTTGTTTATACTTTCAAAATGGCGCTAAGAAATAAAGCGCGTGCACACAAATATCATCGAATACTTCAATACTTTTAGGTGCCTCTAAAAAGATTTCCGTGCCAAAATGAAGCAATTTGATATTCAAAAGGCAAAAATCCTCGTTTAAATAACATTGAAAATATATAATGAAGACATATCTACATATACACATACAACTACGCACATGCATATTATTATTGTAGATTTGAGCGCTATTGAAAGAAAATTATACATATACATATAAACACAAGTATAATATATATATTTTTTTTTATTTAAAACTCCAAAATGCTCCAACGTAAGACATACAAATTTATTATGTACAAAATTTCATGCGTTCAACATACATATTTTGGATTTTCATAAAATATTTGACAATTTTCCGCTGGCCGAGTGTTTTAATTACATACAGCTTTTTGCTTTCATACAGAATTGTATGTGTATGTATTGTAAATGTGTTTGTATTTTTTTCTAACCCACTTTGAGTTTGATTTATAATTAGCATGCACTGAGTGGAAATAAATTAAAGCAATAATAATAATTTCTTTTAATTGTAACATAAACACACAAACACTCGCAAAAGCTGTAAATATGGTATAATATTATTTAAATACTGGACAGCTGCTATTAATAAGCTGTGACATTCATGCTACAGTTAATCGGCAAAGAAAAAACGAATATTATAATAATTGCAGCGAAAGCTATAATCACATACCATATACAAACATACAGCAAATTATAGTTAACTTACACGATATGAAATAGGCGATAACAAACTCGTGCATTTGAGAATTATATATTATATTAAAAAATTTTAAATTATATATTTGAAAAATACGTTTTGAAAAAAAATATATATGTATATATAAAAAATAAAAATAATAACGATGTAGTTGGAGTAAAAAAAGATATAACAATATTATTAAAAAAATAATATTAATGAATTTTTAATATTTTAAATTCAAGGCTATAAAAATCAAATATTTCGTTTTTCTGTATGTATGTAATACAGTGTCGAAATAAAAAAAAAAGAAATTAATGCATATTTTTTATGCATGTATGCGTATTAACTTTTGCTTTATCAGCATTAAAAAAATTCTTAGTGTATAAAGCTTAGAGTTGGGAGAGTTATCAGTTGTTGTGGTTGCATGTAGCGTTCGTTTGCCTAGATATAAATAAATAAAAGAGCCAATTATGGCAATTACAAAATAATGGTTTATAAGGTACATTATACTCGTATTATTATGAATAAAATAAATAAAATATTTTTATTAAATACAAATACAAAAAGAAAACATCAAAGTTGATTCCATCCTAAATATTTATGTGCATAGTTAAAAATAACCGCACAGATATCACGAAATTGAAATATGTGTGACTATAATAAAAAATATAACAGCAATGAATAAAAAACTGAAGAATAAAACTACTGAAATAAAATATTAGTTAAATTGAAATATGAAGATATTTTACAAACATAATCAATTTATCGGAAAAATCAGAAATAACAGCGTAAAAAGAGTTAAAATTAGAGAATATTGATTTATATAAATAAAAGTTGTATAAAATAATACAATAAAAAATACTAAATAGTTATAACGATAAATATACATAAAAATATAATAAAATCAATATATAAATAAATAATATATATTATAAGAAAATGATATTATAGGAAAAAGTTTATAAAATGAATGTGTTATCTTTTCTTATTTATTAATATTATTAAATTTTTCATTTTTATTTATTTTCATATTATTTTATTTCATAATTTTAATTAATTTTTCATTTTTGAAAATTCTAAACGTAAGTAATAACTAATATATAATATCAAATTAAAACCACATGCATGGTATGTTTATAAACAAATATGTATAAAAAAAAATTAAGAAATAAAAAATAAATTAAAATTAAAATTAGGAAAATATTGATATGTATACATAAATGAAATAAAATAAAAAAAAAATGAAAATTTCAGAATTAAAAAAATGTATACATAAATGAAATGAAATAAAATAATTTTAAATATATTCGTATGTCGAAAATAAAAACAAAACAAAATGGAGTACAAACAAATATATAATAATATACAATTTCAGCTAAAGAAATAATAACAAAATATGTAAACTAAATGTGCATACTATTTAGAATTTATAAATTCATATACATATGTACATTTATTTATTCACATACGCTTCTGTACATATGTATATATACGAGAACTTACGCCAAATTGTGTCTTATTTCAATAAGCAGCTCATACAAAAACATTCCCAGTGTAAAAAAATAACAAAAAATACCAATGCATTGAAATCTCCGCACGAGGAACAAAAGACATACGCAAATAACAAAAACATCAAACTCATGATTTCACATCAAAAAAAAAAAATAATAATAATAAATGTGATATTTATAAATAATTTCAAAAATTTACGCTTATTGTGATTGAAAGTGCAACAAAACTCGTGAAAAACACGAAAAACACAAAACTCATCGCTCAGAAAAAATATATTCATCAGCAAACAGAAATCGCGATAAACTCATCAGTTTTACAAAAGAAAAAAATATTTATAAATATGTTATAAAAAAAAACCTTAAACATATGTGTCTATGTATACGAAACGCTCGAAGCATTTGCGAATAAATTCATAACTCTCAGCGTGTGTGAGCAAACATAAATATCTGCACATACACACACATATACGTACATTTATGCGCATAACGGTGTGCTTAATAAATATTCGCCAACATCAACATCATTCAATGCATAACAACTGCATCCGCACCCCTCGCGCAGCCAGCACAACCAAACACAACGCGTATCTATTCATTTAGTACAACAACAACATATAACAATTACAGCAATTACAACTATTTAAGCATTTTCTTTGAGCTCACCAAATCGCAACTGACATTTGACATTTACTAACAGCAATCGAGGCAGCCAGTACCAACGCAAAAAAAAAAAAAAAAGCAGCAGCGTCTCCATCGGCAACTGCGTTCAACGTCAGCCACATATCGAAATTGACACCTACTTGCATAGGCGCGCAGACACGCACACATATGCACCTTCGCACAGAGAAGCAACGAATCGAATTCAAATCAAGCGATTGGAAGCGAGAACAGCAGGAGACGCATAGCATTCGTCAATAGTTGACACACACACACACACGAACGTACAAGTGTGAAAGTACCAGCTGAGTCATTCAATTCGCAGTCCAATAACAATTACGTCACTGCATCTGTCATCGCTCGCTAATTGCGGTGTCTGAGCAAACACATCACATTGACTTGCGCTAAGTCAGTTAGTAAGTCAGTCGGTCGCGCGGCTAATTAGACACTTGGCAAGGCAGCAGCCAGGGCCTCAGCCTCAGCTCTCTGCAAACACAAAAAAAAAGGACAGAAGTGTAATAAAGAACACAGTCACGACGTTGGAGTGCATCTGAGAGAATTTTTAAACAGTGAGCCAATAAAACCGAAGAGCACAAGCTGCAAGCAGCGAAAGGTGGACAAAAGTGTTGTTTTTAACGGTAAATGGAAATTTTGTGCCTCAAAAAAGAACTTTTACTACAACAATTTATGCGGTTTTTGTTTTAATTAAAATCAATAATTAAATAAAATTAACCTAAAATATTAAATTTAAAAAAATTTAACAATATATATATTTTTGTCATTTTAAAAAGTTAAATCTGCCTATATTTTAAAATGCTTGGTTTTAAAAATAAAAATTTGTTTTTAAAAGTTGAATTTATTTTAAAAACAAAAATTTGTTAATGAAAAAATTTTCTCAAATTATGTTTATTAATTTTTACAAATTGTTGAAAAATGTTAACTTTTATGTATAAAGCTTTGAATAAATTTATGGGAGCACGTAACCTCAAAGAAAATTTGTTTATAGCTTATAATTTTATATTGGGTCTTAATTTTTTTTCACATACTAGTATTTCTATAGCAAATTGCTTCAAAATTATTTTGGGTTTATCTTCAGAATAATATTTAAATTTATTATATATACATATATATGTAATGAGAATTTTAAAATTGCAATATACTATAAATTAAAATTTAAACAATAGCTTACCCACATAGAATGAACAATCCGCTGAAATGTAGTAAAATTTCTTGCCAAAATAAATGTACGGGTAACGTTAAAATGATATATCCATTACCATCAAACGTCATACAAAACAAATTATGCTTATACACATACACACATGATAAACTCGCGCTCATAAATCGCACATAACTTCGCATAACAGATAAAGAGAATTCACAAATTAATAAAAAAAAAATAATAAAAAGCTGTTGCACCGCGCTTATAAAGTATACCAGTTTATAACAGTTTTAACATTAAAATAACACACACAGGAGCATAACAGAAACAGACTTAACATATCCCTTACATCAGCTGTCAAATAAACATAGCCGTAGTAATTACAGCTTTTTATGTTATATGATGTGCCTGTCAAAAAAATCTTTTTCATCAAAACGTGTTTATATGAATTTATAACGTATTTGCACACATCAGTGTAAATGCATTATATACATATATGTATGTGTTAAAATTTATATGCATATTTACACTGAACTTCAGCTACAAACATTTAGTAGTATTTATTTTATACATAAGTATATACATATATATTTGAATGTACCTGTACATATGTTCATCATACACTACTCTTCTAACTACTCGCAAATATCGAACTTATTGAACACTTGCGCCATTAACATCGGGTTAATTTTGACATAACTACACACCAACTAGTTACATACATATTCGCACATAAAACTCGCCTCGCACCAAAAATCGATGGAAGTCCATTTCGCTGCTGCTGTGTAAAGAAAAAAATCAAAACAAAAAGAAAACATAAAAATTATAATCTTTACATATCGTTGTTGTTGTTGTTGTCGTTGTCGCTTATACTCAAACTAAAAATAATTATGTTTATATATATATAAATAATAATAAAATTAAGAAATGATTAGATAAAAATACACGCCAACATAAATTCATCTACGGAAAGGAAGAGCATTAACCAACTTGAAGGCCTTACATAAGTCATAGGTTTTACGAAAAAATTTTTAAGACTAATAATAATAACGACTCGTTTCCGAATGGAATGTCTAGCACGAACAGGATTTATTTATAGAAAGCATCAATCTCATTAAATGTACCTAATCGCCACTTTGATCATCAATAAATCATCGCCACTCTAGCAATGTGCTCTCTCTCTCTCACACACTACTTTCTGCATCAAATAATCATGGGCATCTGCAAGCAACAATAAATAACTAATATCGTTTGCTACCACCAACAAAACATCTATGTATGTATCTATGTACAACAGTCAGTCAGTCAGTCAAATTCATTGTGCGTGTAACGAAATCGCAAAACTCAAATAAGCAATGAAAAATCAACAATAAAGTAATTTTTTATTTTTGTTTTTCTATTTCTTTATCCTCTCTTTCTCTCTCGCTTGCGTACTCGATCGATTGACGACATAACAAAACAAAACAAAACAAAAAAGTTTAAGAGAAAAATATAAAACAACCAGAATAGGTTTACGCATACCCATCTAAAGCCTAATTGTTAGTGCAACAACCAACAACAACAACTGCGAATATTGTTACATAATTAATAACAACAACTAGTCGATATATGACAACAGCGCACAAGAGTCTAGCGAAGACACAAACCATTGTGGTAAGAATTAAGTGAAAACTGGCAACAGCCCAAGCGCGTCTAAGACAAAAAACTCTCTTAACACCACTGTCTCCTATTGTAAAGGAAATAAGAGAAAAAGTGATCAAATTTAAAACAAACAATTTGAACTTCCGCAGCGGAGAATTCGTCACAAGCGATTCACGTGACATATAAACTCAAACAAATCTAATTGGATAAAAAGAAAATCAAGCTATCAACAACACAATTCCGGCCATTAGCAGCAGAACCACGCCCATAAAAAAACTTACATATATTAAATTGAAAGACTGAAAGCTCAGAGAAGCCACGGCATTAGTACCTATTAAACGCACACATTCGCATACGCATAGAGAAAGAAAAACGGCACATTTGTTGCTGCCACAGCAAGCGCACAACATGACCCAACCCAACTCACCTGCAACGCTACAGCAACAGTTGCAAGTGCAGGCGAACTGCAACGGCTCGGCAGAGGGCCTCATGAGCAACGCTTTCGACTTGATTGGCGGTGCGAGTGCCGCACAGCAGTTCTTAAATCATATGGACTTGTATGCGCAACAACAGCGCCAGCAACAGCAGCAACAGTTGAACTATCTGCAGCAACAGCAACAACAGTTGCACTCACAGTCACTGATGGCCAAATCACCGTCCACGTCGCCGACCAACTTCGGCAGTGGCGGCAGCAGCAACAGCAGCAGCCACAGCAACATAACAATCTCCACCAATAATTTACATTCAAACTATAATCAACAACATCACCAACAACAGCAACAACATGTCGCCGCAGCAGCAGCAGCAGCAGCGGCAGCGGTGCAACAGCATTTAGGCAATAAACATTCCATATCGTTGACATCATCGCCAATCACATCACCAACCAAATCGATACTCACACAAGTGGCTGCGACGGCCAGCAGTGTCGGTGCTGGTGCCGTTAGCGCCACCAGCACAGCAACTACGTCGCCGCCGTCATCGTCGCCGCCAACCATTCTAACTAATTTCAATTCACAACACCATTTTAATCTGCATCACAATAATCACCAGATGGATTTACAACAACAACAACAGCAGCAGCAGCAGCAGCAACTACAGCAGCAATTGCGTGAGCGCGAGTCGGCCAACGCTGGCCTCAACAGCAACAGCAACCAAACAAACAACAACAACAGTCCAAATGGCGAACGACTGTCAAACGCCGCCGTTATGGGCACAATCACGCCCACCGGCGGCCACAGTCCCAACGGCGGCGCGCACCATCAGCTGCAACAACAGCAGCAGCACAACCACGCCTTGGCGCAACACCAGCATCATCATCATCAACACGGCAACAGCACATCGCCGTTCAAGCCGCCAAGCTCAGCTTCCTGTTGGTGTTATGGTGAGTTCCGATTCCAAATGCTCTTTTGCTTAAAAAAAATCAGAAAATCTGTAAAATGAAACATTTTCACCACCACTAAAGCATCAAAGCATCAAATACTCCGCCACCAGCACCACCAGCGCACGACGCACAGCGTTTGGTTGCGCATGAGTGCGTGTTGCCGCAACATCATCGCATTGCTCGCGTGTTTCGCAACATTTGCATTGACCTCATCCCATTAACGCGCTGACTCGCTTTCGCTCCATTGCTTAGACAGTAAGCAGGGTTTTTGTGTTGTTTCTTTTAATTTAAAAAGTGGGAAAGTGAGAAATTGCAATTTTTACACTAATTAAAAGCAGTTTAAAGTTATTGAAGGACGTACGATATAGTTTTTTTGTTCCAAAAATTAAATATGACGAAAAACACGAAGAATAATTCTTATCTAGCTGATGCAATAAACAAACATTACTTTTAGGTATTATCATAGCATATCATATATTTATATGTATATATGTTCTCATGTGTTTATGTATGTGTTGAGGTAGAGTTGTGCTTTGCTCAAACACCTCGGAGATAATTGCAAATAAAAGATACCTTTTGCAAGCAGACTTTTGTAGACATATGCGTGCATAAGAGCACACACATAATTTTACATACTGACATATGTAATCAAAATATATAACTTTATATTTGCGTGTGATTACATACACTCTACGTCGGCATTGCATGACACCCATGTCACTCGAAGGCTTGCTGAGCAGTTCAAATATTCCCCATAGCACCTTCGCCTTGGCATATCTCAAATTTTCTTCATGTATTCGCCTTGTGTTTGAGCGCGCGCGTGTGTTTGTTGATATCTTGAGTTCGTGTGGGTATGTGTGTGTAAGTGTTTGGTCACAAGAATTTATAAGCAGGTGGAGATATCATTCTAGAGATTTTTGAAATATTTACAACACGACATGATATGTGACCATAAATGTTGGCAAATACATATACATATATATGTGGGTACACATACACAGATACATGTGAATACATACGAGTATATGCTATGTGTTGTATATATGTATTTGAATTTAACTTAAGTCATTTAGTTTTGACAACATTTGGACAATTTAAAGCTCAGTTTTATTAGCTGCCATATATTATTTGATATATGTTATATACACCTTTAGAGGCAGGTTTTGTACACATTAGTATAACTGGTTATACTCAATTTCTCATATTGATATCGCTTTTTGACTTACAAAATTGAAACTTCCACCAACGTATCAGCCAAACTATTAATGCAGCCTTGAACAAAGTACGTAAAATAGTATATTTACACAAATGTATGCTTAAAATATATTATTAAATATATATTTACATCAGTTAATCGGTTAGATTAAGACGTCGATCCTAAGAATAATCTCACTTCGGCAGCTTAAGACGCCGGTCCATTGTGGTACCTAAAAACTACTACAAGCTGAATCATAAGACCATTAAGCATATCACAAATTTGTTGAGATGGCTAATATTAGTTTCGGCTATGTACTTCTTCGTTGAAGTTGCCGTAAGTAAGATTACCGAGATGTTTCAGTCTAGTCTTGGAGTCGGAGTGGTGCCTGAATGTTTCCACATCACCCTCCTCCATAGATTTTTAGCCTTACTGCATGAGTGCCTATTGAACAGCTCCTATCTACTAGAGCAAATGGATAGTTACGTCCAAGTGTTTATTTAATGCTTCTTACAAAAGTAAAAATGATTTCCTAAGATTTCTAAAACTATTTTAATTCTCTCAAATATTTTCTTTATTTATTTCGAACACACAATTTCTAATATCGCTTTATTCGTATTTCTTTTCATTTGGCGCATTTATATGCCTATGCTATCTTTTCAAGGTTACGTATACGCCATGTACTACGCCATATAAAACTTAGGTCGAATGCCGTCGGTAAACTTATCTATTTGGATATAAAACGTGGGTGTTTGCTGAATTATTTGAGAAAGTGGTGACTGCTAAATTTTGGCAAAAAAGGAAATAAAGTTACCGTCAGGTTAAATGAAAATGGAAGTGAGGTTAATGATAATCATAACCCCACCTATATATTACTAATATTTGTATTTCCTAATGAATTATTTATAGCGCTGGTAAACATGAAAAAGTTAAACAGCAATAAACCTGAAAAGTTCATTAAATATTTGTGGCTATAATTGAGTTGTATTCTTTCTTCTTATATTCGCTCAGGCACATCTTTCAATAAAACTAAATATATACTTATAGAAATTGTTTGCGTTCGCCAGAAAGAAAATATCTAGGTAATGATAAATGAGTGTTTAAATAAATTCAGATCAAATAAATAACATTTGTACGCACAGCAGCATTGCAAATTTTTTAAACAAAGTATCGGAATTAACTTTGTACATTTAATTTTTAATCCTAAAATCAGTTGGAGTAACAAACATGAACATTATATTTTTTCATATAAAAAGGAAAGATATACGTACATATTTTCAACTGAAAAACTATAAGTAAGAGTAACTGAATGTAAATAAGACCAATTGTGCTAAACCATTTTTTTTTAATAGAATATGCAAAATACTCAGTATTAACTTGAGATTAATATTTTTTCAATCAGATATTTAGGATTAAAATTTTCTCTTTTTATTTTTTATCCAACTTTCGGGATAGAAATCTAATTTTTAATTTTTCAATGCGTTATTTGGGATTACAAATTTGAAAATTACTTTTACTAAGATTTTCAGGATTTTTTTTACAACAAAAAAACATAAGAAAACGGTAACTTCGGTTGCACCGAAGCTATAATACTCTTCACAGAACTTGATTCCGATCGTTCAAATAATAATAAATTAAATTATAATCCATGCCAAATTTGGTGAACATATCTCTTCAAATGAAAAAATTTCCCATACCAACTCTTGATACCGATTGTTCAGTACATATAGCAGCTATATGCTATAGTCAGCTGATCTAAATAACTTCTTCGAAAACTGCACCATTGCTTTAGACAATAATCCCTGCCAAATTTCGGCAAGATACCTCGTCAAATGAAAAAAGTTTCCCACACAAGCACTTGATTCCGATTGTTAAGTTTGTATGGCAGCTATATGCTATAGTGTTCTCATACCGTTCCGACAAATGAGCAGTTTCTTAGTAAGGAAAGGACAGGTGCAAAATTTCAGATCGATAGCTTAAAAATTGAGGGACTAGTTCGCGTATTTACAGACCAACGGACGGACGAACATGGCTATATCAACTCAGCTCATCATGCGGTTCATTTATGTATATATTTTATAGAGTCTCGGACTTCGTGGCAAAATTAATATATCCTGTTCAGGGTATAAAAATTACTTAAATGTTATTTCAATTAGTTCTTGATGTATTGTTTGCAACCTGACCGACAGTAGTGTAAAGGCGTTTTTTTATTTAGCTAACGTAGGTTTTCTTATTAATATATATTTATATGCAGAAATTATTTTGAAAATTATTTTGATAGATTTTTGACAATCTTGTGATAATAACTATTGCAAATTCTTTAATTCCCTAATGTCGCCTATCTTAAAATTTTCATTAATACGAAATATCCACGAAGCTAAGAACACTGTGGCAGAAACTTATATTTATATTTTGGAGACTGTGAGACTGTGAGACTAATTTCAAATCTACCTTTACTTAGTATAAACGTGCAATTAATTGTACTCAATTATAACTCAATTCTTAAAAAAAAATTTATTTGACAAATTTTCTCACAAAATCTTTTGCTAACCCTAATGCTTTTGATGTGTTTAACAGTACATATTGAAACTTGTGAATAAAGAATTTGTTTAAATTTCGCAAATAACTCAGCATGTCGTTGAAACTCATAAATCAAAGCACCAACATGCATTTAGACTGGCTGGCATAGAAACAAACAAATAACCAGAGTCTATCAAATATATTTAGACCCAAGCAAATGTGCTTTACGAACAAATAAACAAAAACCGTTAGGCACTTGATAAACGTACTACACACACATAAGTATAGCTGAAACAACACTAATACATGTGAGCTTGTGTGCGTGTATGCAGTCGCCACGTTCATTGTCTTTGGCAGCACGCCATTGCGACATTCTCTGTTGCGGTAGCCGGGATATGAATTAGTAGTATCGCAAAATAGAATATATGCCAGATAATTATGCAAATAAATATGTTTCTTATAAAATGAGTGACAGGCAAAACTGAATTAAATATAAAATATGTATATACATATATATATTTTAATTGAGATCACGTGAAACAGGCGTGACTGTAAGCATTTATTTGAGATCTCCTTTGATTGGCATATTTGTATTGGAATCTTAGTACCTACAAAAGAGCATTTCTATTAACTTTTGGTGGTTTATACCAACAAATATTAACGAATTAAGTTGAGCCTGCATTTTTTTCAAAAAAAGTCGAATACGTAAATATTTTCTTTATTTATGAATTTGCCAAACACGCTCTGCCGAAAAGCTTGTTGCTCCATTTCATAATTTGCTCGCGCCTTCTTTTGTGAACAATTTATTTTGATTAGCTGGTTGCCGCTGTTCTATTTTCCATGCAAACTTTTTACCTGCACCATTTGCGTGCAAAATAACGATTAGTCAAAATATACAAATGTACTCGAGCATGCATGCGTTTGAATATAGTTTTGAGTACATTTAGGAAAAACACATTTTCGAATATTTATAAACTCTGAAGTGCAGAAGAACTCGCGGCCGCCCAGACAATCCACGTGAATTTGTAGTCATATTTCCCAACAAATCATAAATAATGCAACGTTTCATCGATTTACACACTTGTATTCAAAATCACGAAATTAACAGAGAAGTTTATTAATTTTCACTATTTCTTGGGCCTAGGGATGATTTCGGTATATAAAACTAGCATATTTTTTTCATTTTAATAAAGTTTTAAACTTTATCATCATTACTTTATTAAAATTATAATGATTTGAGCTCATGATTAATTATGTTTATCGATAATTTAAGTATGATTTTAAGGAACAAAACACTTTGAATTACTAGCTTTTGTTTGAGTAAACTTCCAAGTTTATTTGTTAAGATTATAGATTCGTTTATTTATACAGCGAGTGTATGATTTTGTATATATGTTTGTTAAAATGTGCTTAGAATTTCGAAGTCGCTTCTACCAAATTCTTAAAATACCATATCGAGAGAGTAATCTCCTTCTACCTCAATCTTAAGTCCACAAAGGAAAAACTTTCATGTTAAATTTCTGGCAGCATAAGATGTATAAGTCATTCTTTAAATGTGTGCATTTACATTCTTTAAAATATATTAAAAATTTTTTGTTGAGTGTTGTTAGATATTTCTATTTAGAATTTAATCTTTGAGCGAATGAAAAATGTATTTTTGGAAAAACTGTGTCATCGTGCACGTGCCGTCTTAGATCGCTATAAATGTCAATACATACTTACATATGTGTATATGTTTTGTGATTTATTTAGTGACAACATATTTAAAAGAAGTGAAGCATATGACTGCTACACTAACAACACGTCTTGTACATATACTTGTATACTGAAAAATTAAGAAGTATTTATTATTATTTATGTAGTTTATATTAACAAATTAAAAGTATCTCAAAATAAAATAAAATTATTATAAAAAATATTTAATCACCGCAAATTGAATTTTATATAATCGCTAATATTTTTTGTTCAAACTGATATTGTTGCTAAAATTTATAACAGCGTTTGACAATTTTCAAAAGCTAAAATGTGACAGCAAATCAGGGTTGCGTGGAGAAGTCTTCATTATTGTATATAAGTCAGATTTTTGTTTTGTTAAATTAAGTAGATAAGAAAGTTAATCCAATATCTGTGACAATATGATCGTGAATCACGTGCTTACATTTTGGTTTCAACAAGATATTAGCTTGAAATAAAATTTTTCATTACAGAATTCGTCTATACAAGCTGCATTTGGTATATATAATAATGTCTGTATTATATATAGAAAATGTATTAAATTTAACGCAAAAATATTATTTTTGATGATAAATTTCATATCTCTCTTAAGTCCTTCTGCTGATTAAAGCGACTAAAAATAAGCAAGCAAGACAGCTGTCAGCTGTCAACTGAGATGTCAACTGTCAGAGCTTGTCAAAATTGCAGATCCAAGGTGCATAACATACTTCAGTTCTGTGATTATTACATTCTGCTGAAAAGTTTTGCATTTTTGTAATTCTCTTGCTAATTGGCATGCCACAAATGTTTACAAAAGTCGTTGCATATTTCTGATTACTTCACAGTCAAAATGTTTCGAACCAAATTTATATTTTCCTACTTAATTCACAAACTTTAATATTTTAAACAATAATTTCATGAGAAATTTCATTACTATAATTGAATTATAATTCGCTTACGAATTCGAGCTATTTCCTTATACCATATACTACTTGTATAGTATATATGTACATCAATTATTGGTGTCTGCGTTAGTAATTTTTTATTCGTACTTTTCTGCGGGCTTTTCTCCCATATTTTTTGCATAACAATTCACATATTTAAAAACCTCTACATTGAAATGCTCATTTAAAGGCTTTTATATATACGCACATACAGGTATATATAGAGATATATGTGTGATTACACATCTTAGGCCTGCTCCTACATTTATTTGGAGCACACTTGACACTTCTGCTCTGTGGATCTATGAGTATCTGTGCAATGTCATTTTGTCCTCGGTCGGCTCTGCCGCGTTTGCACAAGTATGTCTGAGTGTGTATGTGGTGTGTGTGGAAATGTTTTCAGTTCGCAAGTTGTATCTAATTAAAAACTAACGATGTAGCAAAAATAAACAACAACAACACAAACGGAAAACGAAAATAAAAAAGTAAAAGTAAAAAGAGAATATAGAGATGTAACATAGTTTTACTTATACTCAAATATAAAATTCTGAAGGGCACGAAAGCACATATACAAAGGCACGCATGAATTGTAGAAACCGAAAGAGCACGGGATGGCGTAAAAATTAGAAATGCACTGTGAAAATAGAAATGAAAAAAAAAAATAATTAAAATGCCACAAGGCCAAGAGGGAAATGGAAAGAAATGTTTCAAAATGTTACTGCGCAGGCAACACACAAGAAAAACGTACAAAAGAAAGAAAATAGCCTCGCATTGGCTTTAAGAAATAGTAATAATACCTGTAGGAAATACGAAGTATATAGAAAAATATGAAAGAAATAACAATAAAACAAGAAAAGTAACACAAACTTTTTTTTATATTGGGACCCTTATTTTCATCTTTGTTTAGAAATTATTAAATTTAAATTTTTTCCTAAGTGTCGCTTACAAAGCATTCACAACATAACTGCTGACACCTTTGAACCCACTGAGCTGAGAAAGTTCAAAATTTCGGTGGTCGCTTTTACGACCCGCTGACCTGATCGCTGTGAACGAGTCGTGACCTATTTAAATCATAAATAATGGTTAGTTAGGGTCAGCTAGCGTTAACAGTGTATATGTTGCTTGTAGTTGTGTGTGATTAAAAAACTAGAGAAAACTATGATTTTGAGGTCAATAAAAAGGTCGTCCTTTGTAAATATAAAGCACTTTTCTAAATTTCCCTTGCCTTATAAATGCCTTTCAATGTTGTGAATGCCTATGGTTTCCAGCTATAAGAAACATATGCGCGTGTGGGCTGAAGTTACACAAGCGTAAAGTTAAATATACACACTTTTGAAAACGGTGTAAGTTTGACTTGCAAGTGAAAGTGACAGTAAGATGATATTTTTCCACAACACTATTTTCTTTTTATATTGAAACAGAATCGCTAACAGACTATTATTTTAATATCTTTTACTTGAAATATTGAAGCAAAGTAATTTTTATTTGAATACCGCATAACAAGAAGCTGGCATATGCTTAAAATGATGCTTTAATTTTCGAAAAATACTATCAGAATAATTTATATCCCTACTAGATATTTCAAAAAAATTTCTATGAAACTATTTTGTTGATTTTCTAAAATCTTTAAATTTCCAGCACTGAACAGTGTCTTCGACAAATTTTTTGAAAACCGACCGATTTTCAATAGTAAAGACTGTCGCATACTTTTAGGCACATGCACTCAAGTTTTGTGAAAATAAATTTACTCTTGAGTTTTACTCTTGTTATACACTTAAACATTATTAATATATTTGTTAAATATTATCATATATATATTTATATTATTGTTAATACTTTTATTTTAAATTTACAATACATAATTTTTTTTTCATTTCTTCTCATTACAGGTGAGTCAGTTTGTTCGGGAATTGAGGTTGAAATTGAAAATAATAACAATTTCTCTCATGGTAAGCTTTTTCATTATTCATTAACTACCATTACAACCGACTTTCATCTGCCTACAAAATTAAATTTGAAATTGAAAAACAAAAACAATTAATGCTTTGATTTTGATTTAATACGAACCGTTTTTAATATGTCGTTTATTGGAGCTTTTGCCTTTTTTACCTACAAAAGATGTTTACACTTTTCTTTTGCTTTATACTTTTTTTTACCCAAATTAATCTTGTCTTATTTTTTATATAAATACTCTTTTCACGATCTCGATCTTTCTACGTTGCGTAATTTATCATTGTAATGCAGGCGCAATTAAATTGCAATAGGAATTCAATTGTAAATAAATAATAATAAAAATCTACTAAAAATTGTGTATTTAACAGTTTTGAAAATTTTCACGAGTTCATAATATTAATTTTTTCGAGGTTAGGGCTCATTTCTATTATATATGCTTTGCAAAGCCGCTAAAATCTGAAATTAGCAAAAAAGCTGTTATATTACAGAAAACGGAATAAGTAACTACACTTGATCTCTAAAACATTGCTGCTCCCATCAAAGCTTATCCGTGATTTTGGTGGCACCAATTTCCATATAGATAACGAGATTGTATGGCGTTATTATGTTTAAATAAGCCACTTTTAGCCTTTTTTATATATATATATGAATGTAATTACCAGAACTCTGGCTGGCTCTGACAATGCCCTTTCAAGTCTTCAATCAAATCATGTAAGAAATAATTTTAATTGCGACACTAATATCAGCTTTCCTTATATTTACTACTACAACAACAAGAAATTAATAACAATTGGTGAAAATCATTCATTCTCACATCATTTGTCAAGCATCTCATTTTCATTGCGCATTTTCAGCGTTTATCGTTGAGTCTCGTTTGCTCATTTGCTCATTCGCTCGCCATTTCATATCAATTCTCCTCATGTCATTTTGATTCAGCAAAAAACCTATATTTCGTGCAGCCACCAACTCATTTGTCGCCCCATTTCTGCGCAGCTCAGCAAATAAGCAAAAACTGAATGCAAAAACAACTCATCTACTTGTAATTACTTATTTTAAGTGAAAGAGAGCGTAACTGTTATTATTTTTAATTTTAAATCCTCTTCTGTGTATGTAACGATTTATTAATTAAATATATTAATATTTAAATATATATCTACATATTTATATAGATATATATATACTTATGTGTTGTAAAAGTAAACTGCTTATATGTATGTATGTAATGCCTGCAACCAAAGCCGAAGTACACGACCTAAGTGTATTTCGTGGCGGTTATGTAAAAACAAATATAAATAATTTTGTAAACGGCAAATTACACAATCAGCACTGTCTGTTCAAATATTTTATTAATGCACCACGGTGCTTTCCGTTTTTTTCCTTCTCTTTCTACGTAACGCTTTGTCTCGTTTCACGCACACGTTCGCGCGCGCAGGCGACTCATCCTACCACATGAAGATCCTAGTGCCCGCCGTGGCCTCTGGTGCCATCATAGGCAAGGGCGGCGAAACAATCGCCTCTTTGCAGAAAGACTCTGGTGCTAGGGTTAAGATGTCCAAGTCCCATGACTTCTATCCAGGTAATATGCTTGTCTCTCAATTTAACTTCAACACAATACATACGCTTTCTCTTTCTCTGTGTAGGAACTACAGAGCGTGTTTGCCTCATTACCGGCTCAGTGGATGGCATTATGTCGGTTATGGACTTTATTATGGATAAGATACGTGAGAAGCCTGATCTTACCACTAAGATTATTGATACTGACTCCAAACAGAATCAGGATCGTGATAAGCAGGTGAAAATTTTGGTGCCCAATTCAACGGCTGGTATGATCATCGGCAAGGGTGGTGCTTTCATCAAGCAGATCAAGGAGGAGAGTGGCTCGTATGTACAGATTTCACAGAAACCCAAGGACATATCGTTGCAGGAACGTTGCATTACCATTATTGGCGATAAGGAGAACAATAAGGCCGCCTGCAAGATGATACTGTCCAAGATTGTTGAGGATCCACAATCCGGTACATGCCTTAATGTCTCATATGCCGATATAAGTGGCCCAGTTGCCAATTTCAACCCAACAGGTTCACCGTATGCTACCAACCAGAATGCCATAAATACGAGTACCGCTTCGTTGAACTCTACTTTGGGTCAGAATATTGGCGGTGCAGCTACAACTGCGGGTCTTTTAATAAACGGCACAGGCATCAATTTATCGCTGAACCTGAGCTCACCAAACCCAGCTCCGAACTTGGCGGTGGCCACACAATTGCTTGAACACATCAAGGTACATGCTTGCTGACGCTTGTTTCAATTGAACCGTTTTATTGACACATTTTCATTTTAGATTGCACTACGAGGCTCCGGATACTCAGAGAACGCCACCAACGAAGTGTGCGCCGCGCTCGGCGTACTTGCTAAATATGGCGTCTTGGGCATGGGCGTCGGTGTACCACATGCCAATGGCACTACTACACTCGGCAGTTTTCTGGGTGTTACGACGTTGGATCAGCAGACAGCTGCCGCCGCCTCAGCAGCTACTGCCAGTAATGTTTTTGGTGCTGTGGGTCAAGTTAATTTGGAACAGTATACAGCGGCAGCGGCTGCTGCTGCTGCAGCAGCTGCCAGCCGTCCGACACAGTCGCACCTAGAAGCGGCCGCCGCCGCACAATTCGACCCGTTCCGTCATTTGAGCACATCAGCCACAGCAGCGCAGGCCACCACACCGGTATCGCTGAACAACAATAGTTTCGGTTTGACTGCTGCCACCGGTACTACGTGCACAACGGCGCAGAGCCTCAGCGCTGCAACACATACGCTCAGCGGCTTAAGCAAGAGTCCCACACCGGGCGATCTGGGTGCTAAGGATACCAAAAATGTTGAAATTCCAGAAGTGATTGTTGGCGCTATCTTAGGTGGGCCACGCTTTTATTATCCCTACTAAAATCCCAAAACCAAAACCAAAATATAGTCGGTGAAATCATGCGAAAACAATCCGCAGCCTTAATACTACTCACAGACACAGTTAATACGTTTAATGTTCCCACACTTATAATTTGAGCGAGCGCCAAAAACCGTTTTCCTAATTAATATTGCGTCTAAAACTATGCTGCTCAAATATCAAGCGCATTGGAGTAATTTTCGAAAATAGCTTAACACATCTGCTAACAGTTTAAACTTTGTATTATTTCAGTTATTTATTGTTGCATATATGTTGCGTAACTATATCCTAACCATCACAATCATACAGAGTTTGCCGAGTGCGCTAAAGCTTACATATTTTAGTTGAAAATCACGCCTTTAAGTTTTATATGTACTTTTTGGTAAATACGTGTTGCGGTACAATTGTACTCCACAGAATTTTCGATTGCAAAACATCGGAAGGTTTTATGATATTCTAGTTTTGTAGTGCATCTGCAGTGGATTTCGTAGGACAAGGCGCTTTAACTGTAATTGTACTAGAGACCCAAAGAAATAAATGTTGAATTTCGTATGAATGTTTAATAAATATTTCCTTTCTGTTAAATTCTACATTTTCCACAAAATAATTACGTTTCCACTTCTTTACTCGAAAAATTTCAGTCTAAGTAATGAAGAGACAGTTTGACAGTCATTGCAGCAAATGTACGAAGTCCACTACATCCTTTATAGATCGTAGAGTACATACGTAAATAATTAGAATCATTTCTATTTAATTCTAATCATCACATTCTATTAAAGAGCAATAATTTCTTAAAAATTCCGAGCACCTAATTTTGTCAATATGTACACACATTTATAAATCTTGTTTCTTTTCAAATTTCATTCTCCATAAATATCAATATGAGTGTGCTGATATACATTCCAACGTCTGTAGTTTTTAAAAAATACATACATACATATTTTTTTAATAGGAAAACGACAGATTTTTGTTTTTGAGATATTCTATGATTTGTTTGTATTATCTAGTCAAGTTCTTGCCACAAACATTTGCTTTCCTTCGCTTATCACAAACTGAAAATTCTCAAAGCAAAAAATCTCAAAAAACCACCAATACATAAGCAGACAAGAGTGTCTTAACCCAGTTATCCAATGCACGAAAATATATACATACAAATAAATTATGTGAAACGATGTAACTGTGATTTCGTATACGCCACCACCCTGCGCACCTTTTACACGAATCATTCAATATAAGCATGTATAAAGTCAGCCACACAGTGGAGCCTTGCACGCATTATGTTATGTGCAGCTGTAAGTCCAATTCATCAAAAATAAATCTATAAAGTTTTTCATCACTTTTTTTGAAATCATTCTGGTAACCACAGCCAGCTACACCAGAGCTTTTCAAATTTCTTCTCATAATAAAGCTGTAAAGCTTCAATATTTACGCCTTCATAAATTTTCGCGCCAATACCGGTAAAATCGCTGTTATTTCACTCCAACTGGAGTACCATGTCACTACAGGCTAAACCTTTTGTCGAGAGCTTTCACAAGACTTTCTTACACCCGCACTCACACGCATACATACATATTAATCCGCAGACATTTTAAAGGCATTCCAGCATTGAAAAGCGTAGCTCGACGCTTTTGTTCGTTTATTTTTTTATCATATGCAACTCGACATTCCCGGCTGACTAGCACTAGCGCAGACATTCTTGTAGATCAAAAAACAGAGTGCGTCACATTGGCTGTGCAACCAATTATCCTTGTATCGTACATGTACGAATCTATATCTAGTAATTAGTGCCACTAACCGCACGCACTAAATGTATACATACACCTAATTCGTACTCCACAAGCATACTCACACATAACGTGTATGCACATATCTTATTTACATACATATATTTTATTATAATTGACATAGAAAGACATAAGTTAAAAGTCGGTTTTTTGTTTTCTACTTGTTTTTTAATCACAAACAAAAATTCATATTTTATAAAAGCTTATATAGGAGTAGGTATATTTGTTGTTATGAAGGGTTTGGCATTTTGTTATACATACATAAAAACATTTATTTACATATAATACATAAATACTAGTAGGTGTTAATATTAAGTAAAGTGCCTTACATATGCACCAACCGTGCAGCGCTCTCGCTACCAAACTTAATGGAGTAATTACATAAATATTTGATATATGATATTTTGTGTGATTATTTGTTCATAAAGCAGCTTTAAGCGCCGCGGTTACATGTGCTAAATTTATTTTTTGTAAATCATATACATTTTCCACTTACCAAATAACTCTTGGTTATTACCTATTGTTAGTTAGGTTAGATATATTAGATTAGATATAGTATCTTTATTCAATATTTAGAAACTCTACTTTGGAAATTAATACAGAAACAAAACTTATTACTCTAAAAGCAGGTGAAAGCTTTTCTGGGGGTCAAAAAAGTTATGCCAAAACGATAAATAGAAAAACTACCATTTTTCCAATTTTCCGTGCAGAAATATTTTCCTTAAAATATGCTTAGAATTTGGGAATCATTAGAGGTATAAAATATATATATCAACGTCAAAATAAAACTGCATTCAATATGTAGTTTTGTATATAATTGATATAGAGAAATTAACTTTTAATGAGCTTTCACTTTCTGAACCTATTGCAAAGAAGCGTTTGCTTTTATTTTCTTTGCTAAAACAATTACTCATGCTTTCATGGCTGTAAGCCGAGTAGCCAACTATTAAGCTTTCACAACCAATATTTGAAACACGCAAAGGTATATGAACCGTTAATTTTATGGTAAATATAACAGAATAAGTAGCGTAAATACCTCATAATATACAATTTTAAATTTCTTCAGTTCATTTTCTACCATATGCGTTGTACATAAACAAGTACATACATACATATTATAATTAAAATCTATATATATACGAGTATATACAAAAATGCACAAGTAAATTTTAGCGTACAACATCATTTATAAGCAGCTAAATATGCCCATAATAATTATATTCTAATTATTTTGGCTAACACGAAAATAATTTCTTACTTAAAATTATACCTTACTAATATGTAAATTTATTTTATTTTATTTTACCTAAGCATATTATTATGAAAACAACACTGTTTGAATTTATGCTTTTTGTGGACTTAGTAGTAGTTACCTAACCTCAAAAATGTCGTTTAATTTTTATTTGATTTTTAATATTTACTTTTAAACATACGTACATATGTTGTCAGTTTTATTAATTGTTACTTAGTACTGTTTAGTTGCAAATCAATTTTTACTACACCTTAACATAATAGTTACAAGTATGATTTTTGAGTTGAGCAACTGTACCTTATAGTATGTATGTAATTACCCCTCTTATGTATACTACTACAACAACAATACATATATATTATATATGTATTAATACTATATAGTGAAAATGTACTTGTATATGCCAATGTGTATAAAAATCAATTATAATGGAAAATTAAAATTACAGGTCCAAATGGTCGTAGTTTAGTTGAAATCCAACATGTTTCTGGCGCAAATGTGCAAATTTCAAAAAAGGGCATATTCGCACCGGGCACTAGAAATCGAATTGTAACAATAACTGGTCAGCCGAATGCAATTGCCAAAGCGCAATATTTAATTGAACAGAAAATCACCGACGAGGAGACGAAGAGAGCGCGACAAATTCCATTAACCACTGTTGTGAATTAAAGCGAAAAACAATTTACACAAAATAAAAATTAAAAATAAAACAACAACAATAACAATAACTGAAAAAACAACAACATAAAATATAACCGAAAGAACATATTTTAAGAGATATTAAAACAAAAACCAAAACCTATAATAATAATGCATACGGAAGAGCGAAAAACAACAACAACCATAACCTAAAAATTAAAACGAAAAGTTATAAAATATGTAAATAGAAAATATGAATTAAAATGCTGAAGACAAGAGCAGAGGCGAAAAATAGTAAAATTTGAAAAAGTTGAAAATTCATAAAGTTTAAAATTTCACATCACAAATTTAGACAAAAGTTTTGAAAACAAAAAATTGCCGTCAAAACCACGAATGATGGAAGCGTGCAAAAGCAACAAAATGCAAACAAATTTTAAAAATCGAAATAAAAAATATATAGAGAGCATTGTAAATGAGATGCGAAGAAAGAAGCGCGCTGCGAATATTGTAATATATGAAAGTAGAGATTTTAAAGCAAGAAATTTAGGAAAAAATTATATAGATAAAACTAAGCGCTCGCTTAGCCAGCAGAGAACAATAACAAGCAAAACAAAAACAAAATTAAACAACTGAAGTAATTACATAATGAATCCAGAGCGAGACATACATACATACATAGATACATACATATAGTGTAGGAAATAATTAGGATGAGTTTTATTATAATTTTTAATAGCGAAAATTGAAACTAATTAAAAATAATAACAACAAAAAGTAAAAAAACACTGTTAAGTAATGTTTAACTATATATGATATGAAAGTTCGTTAATTGTAGTTGGAAAAGTGCGAAATATTTACTTGAAGCAAAAGAGTTAAGCTAAAAGCAATTAAGTTAGAACAAGTGAGAACTAAAGTGAAGGCAAGCAAAACACCTGAGCAGACACATACAAATATAAATACGTTTTTCACTTACATAGCTAAATTGTAAAAAGTTAGAGAAATAAAAAACACAAATTGTTTACTCTGAAAATATATTTAAATTTAAACGAAAATCCACTTCTGTAGTTAAAAGCGAAAACTTTCCATAATAAATTGCGATAGATTTGTTTGGTAAATATAAAATACAAAAGAAAAAATATAAATAAATATACATACCTTACTAGTTGTGCGCTGCAGTTAAAAACACTACAGAAAAATAACCAAGGGAGGCACTTTTGTGCACACACACACACTCACATACGCACTTAAGCGGAATTATGTTTTTGAAAAAAATTAGAACAATTTTTTAGATAATTTTATTGTATGCTTTCTAAGCCAAAATGTAACTGAAAAGCGTATTGGCCAAAAAAAGTTTTAAAATATTTTCTTAGTTTTTAGTTTTTCTTACATTTTAGCGCTTTCAATATCGGCAAAAATTAATCTACAATTCTTGGTTTTAGAACTACATATTAGCACTTTAATCAGATGTGGTGCTCAAAGTGTTAGCAATTCCAAGTCCGTTATATTTTGTGTGTCTAATTTGATAAAACTTAAGTTCTTGCTTTTGCGACTTTTAAGCGCTTCAGTCTTTATTTTGCTTTGTTCGTTTTTGTTATTGGATGCTATATTAAAAAGCAGTTGAAATATATGTGTGGAAAAGAATTTTTAAAATAATAATTACAATATTATGACTGCGGTTAATTTTTATTGCTTTCAACTATAGCACTTGTTATTGTTCCTCAAGCTTTCTTGCAAATATATCTATTATTTTTCATTTGTTATTTTTATAAAACAAAAAAACTTATATTTTGTTGCTTTTGAACCGCCTGTTGAGCATTTTCAGTGATTTATAAGAATTTTCCTTTACAAGAGTTGCAAATAATTACACTGTTTAACATACAATTGTATACAACATTGTTTTAAGTACTTGTGGTTTGAGTTTGTACGAACAAGCGTTAAAAAAGACAACCTGAAGAAAGAAAAACCAAAAAAACAAAAAAAAAATATATACATATATATATGTACATATATACAGTACTGAAAACCACGTCAGAAAACTCTCACGCGTGCGCCCTTCATTCAGCATACCCATATTATAGAAGGTAAATATTTAGCTTTAAAAGTTACTTAGTAATTTACGTGGTTGCTTTAAAATAATTTGCAATATTTTCTAATTTTTATTGATCTCCCTGTTTTTTTTTTTCTTTATTATTTACAAACCTATAACAACGTACTATTTTTTACTAATAGAAGGCGTACATGAGCGTATAATGTGAAGCTTTAAGACGAAAGCTTGCAGTGAAAGCGTTTTGTGTCAAATGCGAATTTGCCGCTCAAATTTGTGATTTTCGCTTATTACCCTGTCCAGCCTATGCGCTAGCCTGTTTTACTTCTTATTTCTCATTGTTTTGCCTTCCTCTTTCCAATTTTTGTTGCTGACAAACTATTTGCATATAAATTTTTGTTTATTTTTTTTTTTTCTAACTGCTGTTGCTACTCACGGCAGCATTGGCGTTTTGATTTGTGGTATATGGTACAACAACAAATAATGAACGGATTTTGTGACTGATGACAATATACATGTTGTTGTTGCCATTGTGGAGGATGATACGGTGGTTGTTTGGCCGCCTTGTTGATGGAAAGTGGTAAAAATGTGTTGCGCGCATTCTGAGTCTCCTTACAATTTGATTTTTTTTCACGAGTTACACACTCAAATTTATTTTTGCAATCTAAGGCTATTTATGTTATTTGTTTATATTCGATTTGTACACATTGCTTTTAAGTTTTTAATTTTCATAACGGAAAATATTCCTTTTTTGAAACATTGCCCTTGTATACATTTAGTTTACATAAAGTGTAAGTTACATAATTACTAAGAATGCTTTCATGTCTATTAAATTAATATAACTATATATGTATATACATACATCCGTATACTTACTACATACATACATACTATTAACGTTTTTAAGTTATGTTACCTTTTAATTAAAAAATGCGGTTAAACTAGTTAAAAAACTTTTATTACATCACAAGTTGCTGTTGGCACATTAATTTAATTGAATTGTTGCTCACGATTAGTTCAGTGAAATGTGCATGTGACCACCATTCAATGGGTCGGGAGTTCGTAGCACACACATCGAAATCAAATCACAAAAAAGTCAACACTCAGACAGTTGACACTTTGATAATTACGTGAGCTTTTCATGAAAGTTGGTTTAACCGTTCGGAGGACGCTCTAGCTTGTAAGTTCGTATATTTGTGAGCTGTTATTCTGCGTGAAACCGCAAACTGGCGCAGAAGCTCGGCTCGGTATAATGCCATATTTTTATTATGCTGTTTACCGTTATAATTGTGACACTTAAATTAATTATACACTCACATAGAAATAAACACATATGTAGATTATATTGTTTTCATTGCGTTCGTAACTTTTATATGTGTCATTTATTGATTTTATTGTTTTAGTTAAAAAATAATTAATTTTATCGAAGAAAACAAAAGAAAATGTGCAATTCAGGTTTACTCTTACGTTTAGAATTGTGTATGTAATTTTACTTTTAATAAATTGCAATTAATAATACTTAGTCAAATCATATAAATGACCAAATATGCGTAAAAAAGACAATAAATAATATGAAAATGCATTCTTCACACTAAAACATTTCGAAACGACTTTCTGTAATGAGAAGGCCTTTCGAAGCGTTTCCAATTTTAACCATTCGAAAAGAAAATATTTTACGCATATTCGCACATTGTTCTTTCAATAACTCAATATTTCAAGATCATTAATTTAAGTGAAGAAAAACTGCGATTTGTTGTTACCTCTTTATGTAATCACTTCGAGCCCCCTTTTGTACCACATGCAATTCATTGTTTTTATATTGTATACTTTTTCATAGCAATTCATGCAAAATTCTAGTTTAGTTTCCGTTTTCCTTAAATGTCTTTATATTTTTTTTTTTTACAAAAGAAAGCAACAAACACCAATATTTTCATAAAAATTGTAACTATTTAGGTTTTGTTAAAACACTTAATTTTTAAGTACTCTTCATTTTTGTATAAATTGTAATTCTTTAAGTGCATACTATAAAAATATTAACAAAATTATAAGCGTATACATACATATACATTATTACTTTAAATGCTTTTTTCTTTAAATTATGTCAAATAAAATAATCAAAAATAAATATTTACATAAATGAAAAATCGAAGAAATACCTTTGCGCTTTTATTTTAATATCTTTTTTTTTATTGTACAAAATATCATCAACGAAAAACCCTCAAATCACTGATATCAATCGACAAATCAGTTTTGCGCCATCACATTTCCACCACTAAAAGTCACCATGCGCAATACCACTTTTCAATACACCACCCACAACCACCAATCACAATTCACCACCGACACCTAAGCAATAATCAAGTATCACCATTTCCAACACCCTCCTCAATTGTCACTCGAAATCAGTTAGGCATAAAGCAATGACCTTAAGTAATGCAAAAAATAACAACTTACCTGAGATTTCGTCATAAAAATCATCCAAAACTCATTACCATGATAGTATACTTTTTTTTTAAATTTTTTCATACTTTTTTTTAACAAAAAAACGTGCCTTTTAAGCCTGTCAAATTGACCACTAGTAGAAAAATTACCATTAAGTTTTGAATTAGTTTTATATATTTTTTGTTTCGGTTGCTCTGGCATAAGAAAAGTCTAAAATATAATTTGTTTTGTAATTTTTTCGTTTGTTTTTTTTGTAATGAGATCAACGTGCTGTTAAAGCTATATATATTACTTTGAATCAGTATATATATATATGTATATTGTTTTTGTTTCGGTTGCTCTGACATCACAAAGAATCATAAAAGATAAAACACATTTTTTTTTCACTGAAAATGCTCAATAGTAAAAGAATAAATATATTTATGTAACATTTCTTTAAACATAAGTACATACATAACACACATTTGTACCGATAAACAGTACCTCCATTAATTCACTTGAGTACATAAAGACATTTGTCATTTCAAAAAACGGTATAAGTGAAGAATAAAAGGCGAGTATGCCTGCTGGGTACATTTTCTACACCGTACTACTACATACATACATACATACAAGATTTCTATTAACATATTGTAAAAGTAACATAATATCTATTGTATATACAAAATATATACAAAAACAAACATAAACATACATATTTGTACAAGTGTAATTATGTTGTTATTGCTGTTAAAATACATACAAAGCTACCTACGTATTATTTTGAATTAGGATTCGTGAATGCGAGTCATTGAGTCAGTTTGTTGTTTAATGATGTAGTAGATAGTACCGTTAGGGACGCAAAGCGAAGAAGTGATCCACAATTGTTTGTTAAACTTAAATAAATATTTAAAAGAAATAGAAAACACCTCACAAATGGGTGATATGAAGCGAACGCTGGAGGATCAAGGTATATAAATTTATCAAAATGCTTTCAGAGCGGCATTTTATGGATTAAAATTGTTGATTTGAACGATTCCATAGAGTGCTAGTATGCAGTACATATTTCCACCTGTGCTATAATGGAACAGATAGCTATTAAATGTAGGCAATGAAAACTATATGACGCCAATGTTAGAACTGAAATTTCCAAATGCGTTCTGCGCCTAAAAGTATGCAATAATTTTGGCTTCGATTGAGTATTGTATCTCAATAAGCATCAAAGTGGGTAAAATTAAAAAAATTATGCTTTTAGTCGCATTTTGGCTTACCATTGCATTTCCGAAGTTATTGCAGATTTTTGAAAATCAGTAAAAAGGTACTTTTTATAGTAACAGTTAACATGTACAACACGATTTCAACAGCGATGTGTTTCGTAAATTTGTAGAAAAACAGTTAGGCATATTATTTGGCGCTAAAAACTGCGCAACAGTTACTACAGCAAACTGCAACGGAGGAATATTGTATGCAAATAAACGAGTTAGGAATATTTAAGCAGAGTTGACAAAAATTAGTGACAATTTCGTAAAGCGCATAAATATGCCAAAAAGCGCTCACTCAAACTTCAACAAGCAATCCACAAAATGCCGCAGCAATACGGCCCTGTTTGAGAACAAACCCACATTTTTTTTGGAAACCAACTACACCAATAGTGAAAAATAATCAATAAAATCAAAAAAAATAATGTCGTGTTACAGAGCATAGTTATTGTTTAGAAGCGTTAATTAAGGCAGTCATTGTTACATACATACATACATATACAATTTAAATATATATTTTAACATTATCAATAACAACGCGTTGTCATATGAATTTGTGCAATATAAACACACACATACACTTATAAAAAAATATTTAAAATAAGTTAACTATTTGTTAAATATCAATATTTTATTTTTTTGATTTGCCTTTGCGTTTTATGTTCTCTTGTTTCAAACTTTTTGCAAATAACATGTAAATTAGAAAGTAGTTGATGAAAAGTGCTTTCACTAAGTAACAACAACCATTTCGTTGTTACAATTAACTTTATTATATGGTGATTTTATAGCTAGTGCGCCTGTAAGTAGGCTAGAAAAGATTACAATAGAAGTTTTATTTGATAAAAATTAAAAACTTAAAGAAATTAAATAAAATTAAAAAATAAGGCAACTCAATAATGCATCACTTGATTGTGATTTACTTTTTAGCATTCATATAAAAGTAAATGTAGTAATTTTTTTCTTCAGCATTGGTGCGATTCGAAAATGTTTAATTGTTTTGGACAAAATCATGTTTGCTAGGCCTTAAAATGTATTAAATTCATAATATTTAATATTAAAAATTATTAGTAATTATAAAAGTATGTTTCATGTTTAAATAAGTTGTTGTTGAGTAAGGCACACAATTACACATACACACATACATACACACAATAACACAGCCTTATACATATATTTATATATATACACTCGTTAAATGCATGTAGAAATGTGCGAATTTTTGCAGTACATAAAACAAACACACATTAAAAAATAGCAAAAAAAAAAAACCGTTAAAGAAAGAAAGAACATAAGAGAATCAATGCAATATTCAGCGAAATTCAAATTTAAATACCTAATAGAAATAGAAATAGAAATAACTAAAGTATCGTTGACAACTGTAAAGTACTGTTATGTAAATTCAATTCAACTTATCAAATACAATTCAATTAACTCAATAATAATGTAATGTAACAAGTAATTAAATGAATACATATATGTAAGTAATAAGTTGTAAAAGCGAAAATATATATACATACATACAAACATACATATTATATGTGAAAGTACTAATTTTAGTAGGCAAATTAATTAAAATGGTAGTTAAAAAGATTTATTAAATAAAGATTAAAATAATTGAAAATAAAAAATATTAAAAATTCAAATTTAAGCGAAATTCCCGCATTTCCCAGCATTCCCATTTTTGGCACACATAGAACGACTCGCAGCCTTCCGATTCTCTCCGTTAAGCATACTACATAAGTACATACATACATATTCAAACATATATCCATACATGTTTGCATAGAGCAACACCGAATTGGATCATCAACAAATGAGCATGCGCAACCAAAAACCAAATTTAATTATATTTCGCATACAACTACCAACATTCTCGTAAATACACGTGTCAAAATTTTGTAGAATCTACATAAGCTCCGGAATACACATATATGTATATATTTGAGTGAGTTAGAAAATATACTCAGAGAGAAAACCAGCGCAGAAGAGAGATGGATAAAGAAACTGATACGGAACTGTTGAAACATAAAAATTATGTAATACTTTCCAAAAAATGCAAAAGTCTTTGTTAAATTTGATTTACAAGTAGTCTTGACTTTTTTGAATGAGCCATCAAGAGGAACAATCCGTTGACTAAATTTTTAACTCGCTAAATAATCGGTGTTGATATTTTTGCAGGCAAGTCCATTGTATACTACCATACAAGTATATACTAAATATAATAGTTTTCAGAATTTTTTTTGTAACATGCTCTTGAAAGTAAACGTAGAGGTTTTCTGCTAAGTGTACAGTGCAATATACAATTTAATTTCTGGAGTTACATAAACTCGTTGGAAAATTATTAAAATACACACACGTAGGTAAGATTCAGCTTAAAGGCATGTGAGTCAAATCCATTACTGAGCCTGTTAATCCATTCAGATTAAAAACGTTACTAAGACGACTCCTAATATACCGTTTTGAGAGAGTATCTCATCGAATACTAAAACTATCATGGGTTTACATCGTTTTTTTAGAAGAGACTCATTATTATTTGCTCTCCTCTATTATTTCAAGTTCTTTTGTTCTGACAATTTGCAATAAAAGAATATACATTTTTAGTTTACCTCTTGTCACTAGTTAGCATATCCTTCAATCACAATCACACACTCGCACTCAACACACACGCCCATTTGCACTCGTATATCAGAAATTTAAAATGCCAAGTCACATGACAACCCCACAAATACACAAATTCAATTATTATTTCATAAACAAGAGTTTTTATTATATACATATATGCATATACACATACATATATATATGTACGTTTTCACAGTCAAACAGTAACAAGATCAGTTACAAGTAACTACAACAAACATACATACCTACTTCGCATTCTCATTCGCATCTTTACAGAATCAGCTTAAATCAAAACAGTGCGGAACAGAGTGCATCGAATAAGTACAAGTATGAGTACGAATACGATTACGATTACAAGTACAAGTTTCAGAGTTTGACGCAAGTCATGTCATATTCGCTCATAATACATAAAATATAACATTTATTACAGACAGATAACGGCAATGTTGTCCATGTGCCGTTATAAAGCCTTAACAATTTAGACAAAAACAAAACAAAAAAAAAAAAAAAACAAATTGTAACACAGTAAAAACAGTCGTACATCACCGAATGCACCATCGTCATCTCTATCACAACAAAGCCACCAGCATCAACCATCGCAATCACCAACCGTCAACTTCCAAACACCATCATAACCACAAGCACCACCATCATCACCACTGTATTCACCACAGTCATCATCAGTATTCAGAGATCATCATCATTTGCATACGAATGAACATCAAAATTATAAATCACATCCGAACCACTTCAAATGAGCGAGAAATATTGATAAAATGAAGCTCTTATCTTCATCTAACTTGAAGTATTAGACAAAACGAAGCAAATAAATTTTAAGAAGCAAAGCTAAGCTTAATTAAAAAGATATATAAGCGAAAAAGCGAAACAAATACAAAGTTAAAGTACTGGATCTGTGATATGTAATTAATATATTTAAAAGAAATATAAATATATATATATATATAATATATATGAAAATTATTTAAAGACGTTGATGTAAACGAAGCAAGAAAAGTGATAGAAATGAGCACGAACTCACAAAGAAAGCCAGTAAAAACGAAATATGGCAAGTGGAAGGGGTGAAGAAGGCCGCATGGCAGAGGCGACGAGGGAGAGAGAAAAAAGCAAGACCGCGGTAGAAGCAGAGGGCGCAAGGTGGAGTTGTTAAAGTTGATTACAATAAGTATGCGAATGAGTATGCGAATGTTAATTATTATGAATCAAATGCAGTCGATATGCGATATTATTTAAAAAATGCATATATGTAGTTAATAAAATACAAAACAAGAAGAAAAAATTAAATGCAGAAATAGTTAAAATGTAATACAAACACACACAAACAACACACCGCGCGAAACTAAGGTTTAATGAAAAACAAAAACAAAAAACACAACAAACATTAAATTTTTAAGCGCAAAACGTGAGAAAAATTTTAAAACACAAGCAAACAAATACGAAATTTAAATGCTGTGAAAAGAATCATCTGCTATACGATCCATACACACATATACCGTTGTAGACTGTTGTGGTGTGCGTGATTGAGCGGCATGGCGACCTGTAGAGAAAACGTGTCGTACAAGGTTCTGGGTCACAATTAGTAACTTTTGGCCAAAAACATGCCAGCATACCGATTTCTGGTAAACTGAATAACGCTATTAATGCGAACATTGTGAGCTCGTTGTTATTAGCAGCAATCCGCGTCTTTTTTCCTGCAGGCTGAGCATATGTCTTCAATCACATTTTAATAAGAGCAACCAAAATTTGAAATACTAAAGTACCTTAGCGTTTTTTGGCATACAACACATTACATTACTGTACGTACTATGCACGTGCATACGAATCGTGACCAAGCATATTTCAGTCAGCGCTACATGAAAATTACGATTAAACGAAAAATTAAAGATTTACATAATTTATATTTTGTATAATAATCGATATGAGTATTAAGTCAGCATTTTTCGAATTAAACATAAAAAGATTCAATAATTCATTGCTAGCAAGCGCTAGACTTCTAAGGGGTTTTAATACTAGTAAAAATTTCCCGTTTTTGTTAGAGCAGTGAATAAAAATGTCTGTTCTAATGGCGAAAAGCAGAAAGTGACTTAGAAAGCCAAATAAAAAAATCGTATCAAAAATATTGAAAAAGCCTAGATCAATGATGAATTATGGATCAAGTTCTAACAGGTCACGTTTGCAAGCAAAACTTTCCACATAAATGCTAAAATCGTCTTAATATGTTTCATTCTTAAACTTAGCTAAACTAAATGTTGAAAATGAGCCCTCCTAATGGTAATACAAAGAATTTTAAAATTAAATAGGAGATTATGCAAATAAATCCCTTTTAAATGACTTGACTCACTGTCCGTTTCGAGAGCTGCCTTTTAAGGGGCACAGCTAGTGTGACAGTGTGTGAAAAAACTACTGTATCAATTGTCTTAAAATTGTAAGGGTATATATATATATATATATATATAGAGACATGAATTTTTCTATTTGATAATAAAAAACAAATAGAAAACCGTTAGGCAGAGGAACGTCCCGTTACAATTAAGAGCTCATACTTGGAGATCCTTTCTTAAAAGTTTATATCAATAAATTTTTCAGAGTGCGAAGTGAAAAAAATATTAATTTTTTTTGGACCCACCATTATATATTTATTTTAAGAATACAAAGCAAAATTTTTGAAAAAACCAACTAAATATTTTTTAAGCTATACGAGATCTTTGAGGGCTCTAAAAAATGAGCTCGTCCACTTTTGTACCGATTCCGTTCTTATCCGTGGATGAAAATAAAAACGGTCAAAAATTGATAAAACGGTAGCATTGAAAAAAAGTTGAATTTTGTGTAAAATTTTGTTCGTTTCTACCTCCAAATTAAATTTTTGATTAGATCAAAAAATTAGTAGGTAATGTGTGGAGGACTATATACAGAACATGCAGAAATTTGATATTGATCTGATCACTTGTCTACGAGTAATTACTGCAGCAAATTCGAAAAATGTTGTTTCGAGAAAAACGGGTTAAAAGATAAACTGAGGCAGGTTGAACTAAGCGGCTACACTTTGAAAGAATGTAAATCAAAAGCTATTTGAAATATCGATTTAAGATTTTTTAAAGTATAACCTATCGAAAAGAAATAATTTGCAATAGTTTTTTTTTTTAATTTCACTCTTGGTGTGCCCCTTAAACTGATTTTCTCTATGGATCATGCCACGGCCTAAGCTAATTTTCTTTTAGTCGCAAGTACCTTATTTTGTATTACTCTATGGTTTTAAGGATACGGCTTAATCATAAAGTTAAAATACATAAGGGAAGTGAGTGGTTTTGTGGAAGAATTTTTAAAGCTGTGTGGGTAATTAATAAATTCCTCAAAAAGTTATGTACAACATTAAAAATATCTTAATTCCCATAGTATAATAATAGGTTGAATGTTCTTAAGAGACAAATTCATAGCAAAGCTTAGTTTAACACGATTTTAATGAACGATTTTTGCAGTAAAAACCATTTCAAGTTTTTAAAGCATCTTTTAGAGCATAAAGGGAAGAAGTAGGCATATATATTCTTAAATTTAATCGAACATTTTTGAGCTGACGATACTGGGTTTATTCGACAGAATCTAAAGCGCTGGATACGACTGATACTCGTGAAATAGAGCGTAGATTCACTTTATTCCATTTTCGCTTGCAAACACATACATACATACAGACACATATACGACCAAGCAGCAGAGCGGGGTAAAAATTAAACAATTTAAGGGTAAAAAACGAAATTTGTCCAAAAATTACAATAATTGCACACGAGTTTCTATTTTTCTCTTCACAATTACTAACGCGCGCATCAGTCATTGTAGCAACATTTAAATATTTAACATAAAATCACGTTATTGCTATAATTTGGCTTAAAATATTAATAGAAAAAGTTGTAAAAAAAAATAATAGTAATTTTATAGAAAGAAATAAAAGAAAAACTGAAAACTATTAAAAACCAACTGTAAACAGCATGTTACATAATTTTACTTAAATATACATACACACGTGCATTAATAAAAAGCTACATACAAACAAATATAATTAATATAAATATAAATATAGAGAAAGAGAAAGAGATATATATTGAGGCAAAACTAAAAAAAGGAAATATAAAATAAAAAAAAATTCAAATAAAAAATTAAATAAAGCAAACAAATATATACGTACATATAGGAAAAATTGTTTTCTTCACATTTTATTTACATTTGTTAGTGTAGTTTTTAAAATTAAACAAATTATATACATACAAATATATATGTAGGAAAATATGAGAATAATTAATTTAACTAGTAAGAAACTAAACGAGCATAACTGTAAGCGCGAAGCAAGACAACAACAGTGAATATTTTAATAGAAGAAAACCAAACTAAAGAAACTTTTCTTAAAATTCAATAGCAGAGTCTTTTAGCATCATAGTACTATATATACATACATACACACTTATATACATAATTATATACATATATATATATATATTGTATATTGTATATTCGGTGGTTAGTTATTAAACAATTCGTAAAGCAAAGACAAATTCAGAATAAACTATTTAGTATAACACTAAAACAAATACTGAAATTCTACATACTAAACTACAGTAGAATCTCAATAAGCGAAATCAAGCGCGCGCATACAAATGCAAAATGTCAGCAATAAGTTGTGGACAAGAGAGGAGTAAAAGAGTAAAAGTAATTAAGTCATAATTCATGTATTGTCTAGTTTAATTAGCGAGAGACCAAGTGTGGTGGGTGAAAAAACAAAGTACATGGTGGGTAATTCACCACAGTTAAAAGCAGTAAGGAGGCGTGAGTAAAACTGTTAAATAGTTGTTAAGTTGAATTGTCGATAAAAGATGCTGTAGTATTGTATATTTAATGTAAATGAGAAATGTAATGAGAAACCGATGTGCAACAACAAGTACGCTGATAATGAAACTAATTAAAAAGTAATTACAAAAGAGAACAACAATGAAGCAAACAAGCAAAGGGCAATTGCAATGCAAGAATGTTGAAAACAAAAAAACACTCAAATAATTTTTATTTATTACAAAGCTCACTGTTATTAGAACAAATTTACAATTTTTAAACTTAATTACAATCTATTGATTTAGTGCATACAGATTTCCACTCCAATGTAATGAAATCTAATTATTAACATTAACAACAACTACAATTAGCAACAACAACAAATTCCAAAAATTCAGTGAAATGCATATGATAAATATTATATTAAATACATACATCACAACCATGCATATTTATATATATTTAAGTGCATAGATCTATATATATATATATATATATTATATATATGCAGTATATACCTAGAAATTGTTGTAAATGCAGTGGACTTCGTAACTATGCAAACCTTCGAACGAAACCACAGATATTTTAAAAGCAGCTGTTGAAACTTCAAACAACACAACAAACATGCAAGCATATATTTCAAGCAAAAACAAATATAAAAACAACAACAAAAGAAAACCTAAAATCTAATAGATCCAAAATATTAAGAAGAAAAAACACAAAAGCCAAATGGCGATTCCAAATCCAAGTGATTATTTAAAATCTTTAATCCCAAATTAAAATACCAAATTTCAATATTTACAAAAGCAAAACCAAATAGAAAGAGATAATTGTATTGAATTAGTAGTAAATGAAACAAAAAATCAGTAAGCGTAAATGCCATAAAGAGAAACTGTGATTGCGATGAAATACCCTCGAAGTAAAAAATATAAATTAATAAATCATAAATAAATAAATGAAAATAAACAACAACAACAATTAATTAAACTACTACTGATTTGAGGAGCTGTGGAGGCGTAAAACTTCATCGAGATCGGCGATGTACCGAATGTGGCAGAGCTGTGTACGAGTACTTTGTTAGTAGCGGATTGCTGATTGCGAATTGCAACCTTGCGTATTGCCCATAAACGCATTCATCGTTATCAATTTTAAAGAAAATTAGTTCTTAGCGTGATATACATACACACATAATTGCATACATACATTAATTACATAATGGGCATGAAATCAATAAAAACAATTTAACATTACAAAAAAAAATACAAAATTCTAATAAAAATGTTTATATTTGTGGCGAGCGAGGTCCGCTGCTTAAGAGAGGTAAGTGTTGCTTCTATAATGATATAATTAGTTTCGTTTAGATATACTACAAATAAACCGACATTTTTGGCATAAAGCCAATAACTACTGTGGTTCTTACATTCGGGATCCCAGTAGCTGGTATCTGGGGCCTTAAAAAGTTATGATTCGATAATGACCATTTTTAGATAGTGTTAACACATAGTTAATAGTGTCTTTACAGCAACATTTTTTCTTGAATTTAACTGCCAAATAGCTTCTTAGACATGAGCGTATTGATAAGAACTTTTAAACTTTTGGTAATCGCCTTCCAAAACCTTAAGCACATGCTTCTTCTTAGATATATTTTTCAGGTAATGGTTTCATAAAAAATTAGAATTTTAAAGCCACTCTGATGCGTAAACTTTTTCATAAAAAAACTACTATTTTTGAGAAGCCACCATTTGTTCAAAATTCAAAATTTTGACTAGTCCTTCGATCATTATCTGTATCCATCTATTATAATGATATTTATTTTTATGGTTTGGTTTTTTGATCATTTAACGCAGAAAACTTTTCCCAACCTACCGAGACAACTTTTTTCGGAGGTCTTCGGCAGATCGGCTACGGAATCAAGCAAATCTATAATTTTTGAAAATGAACTGTTAAGTATTATGATACATTAGATTAAATGCACATTATTTTAATGCCTCTTCAATTCACAAAAAATGCATTTTTATGACTTTATCGAGTGGATATAACCCCTTAATGAGTTATACCTAGTCAGGCGGTCGGAAAAAGCAGATTTTTGGGATTATTTTTCTTAAAGTATTAATTTTTAATTTTTTTTTAAATGAAAATTCCTCTATATTATTAGACATCCTTTTGTGTGTTAAAACAGAAAAATTTTTATGTACAACAATATTAATTTTTCTGTTCTTTGTATGCAATCTCCCAAGAGTCTTCGAAAAAAATGTGTCTCGCGGTGACCATCATAGCACCTTTCTTCTTCTGAATTCAAAAATTAAAATAGATTCTGTTAGTTTAGACCGAAGGAATTAGAAAAATATCTCTTTTTCACAAATAGGCAGCTTCTTAAAAGAATAATTTTAATTTTATTTAAAAAACTTTCGATCAACGATAACAAAATTTATTTGTTGATCTTGTGTGAAAGTTTCAGCCAAATTGGTTCAGCGGTTTTTCGGATATCACCGACTTATAAAACGTAGTTTTGAGAAAAACGAGTTTAAAGTTCCACAAAAATGCTACTCCGCATGGCGCCGACTTGCTAATTATGATTATACCTTCGAAAAGATTTCCCGAATCTTTAAAAAAAAATTTCATAACAATGAAATATATATATACTTTAAGAAACTGCAAAAACATAAATTTTTGGAAAATCGTGCCCCTTAATTTAGTAAATATTTTAATAGCTCGAGGGAAATCAGTATAGGGGTCAAGGGAGCTCAAGCTATGACGGACATTCTTTTAATATACATAACCTCATATCTATCTTGATTAGTTTTAGCAACTCGTTTTTTCCTGTGATAATACATACATACATACAAGATACAGGAGTGATATATTAAATTTATTTTATAGTACAATAAATAAGTTCACTTTTTTGAAAACGAACCGGTTTGCCCTTATAAATTATTGAACGGTCTATTTTGTTCCCCTGTAAATATTAATTTTATTTCACACCTTAATTGAACAAATACACGCAAAATATGCTGACCGCAAAGTATTTTTTATCTTCGACTTCGCAAAGTCTTATCTGCCAGATAACTCCGTTGGACAGTCCGGCTGATTAGTTGGGTGGGCAGCGATAAAGGCGGGAATCACTTCCAATTCACCTTCGATACGTGAAATAATCGGATATGGTCGCATATCAACCTGAGATCTACAAATGAAACGATAGTTATTCAGTTTCTCTCTCTCTCTTCTCATTACTTACTTTCTGGCATTAAATACTTGTGGCAGCAAACAGCAATCAGCCATTGAAACCTCATCGCCCACACAATATTTGCCCGCCGAAGTGGAGAGCTTTTCTTCCAGAGCGCGAAAACCGCTATTGATCCAATGCTGAACCCACTCCATCCGCTTATCGCGTCCAACGTGCTTCTGCACTTTCCGATTTTGTAAAGGCTGTATACCTGAGGCTATGATTTCTACAATCTCACGCACTTTGGCACGTTCGTACGCGTCTTGCGGCAGCAGCGCTGGCAGCGGACGCGTCTCCTCCAAATAATGCAGAATGGCAATGGACTCAATGATGTTATTCCCATCTCATCAAAAAGCTTATTGTAATAAAATAATTATTTTACATAAAGCACTTACCTATAAGCAGTGTTGGCACTTGCGCCGTAGGATTAATCGCACGATACTCGGCGGCAAACTGTCCCTTTTCCGGCTTAAGTAAGTTAACAGCTCGCGTTTCATATGGAATATTCTTCCAGTTGAGTGCAGTGCGAACGCGCCACGAGCAGGAACTGTGCCAGTAGGAATAAAGTATTGGCTTCTTGCCTTCACTGGTTTCTACTGGTTTAAGGAGCGATACTGAAGCGAAGATTTGTTGTGCACAAATCTTCAAAATGCGATTAGTTTGCCAAGCGCTTTGTAAAAGCTGCCGACTGCTCAGTGTTGTGTTCATGGCGCTTTACAGCTAAACGTACCAGACACTTGCGAATTTATTGCAGCACTAACACCTGCCGTCTTACAAGTAACGATGACCCTTAAGTTGGCTTTATCGCCGCATTTCTTATCACATTACGCTTTGTTATTTACTTTATTGCAATGTTTTGTTTGCGCTTGCATATATTATGGAAACAGCTGTGATCAACTAGGTTGCGGCAGTTGCCTAAAAGTATGCAATTATTCGTTTTGATCGTACGATATTTTAAATAATGGAATATTCTTCCAGTTGATACATATTATGGAAAATCTCAGAATTTTCAAGAGTTACAAATAACCGAAAACTGATAAGGGCACCAGGGTCTATTGGTGCCGAATAATGCTCAATCATTTGATACCTACCACTCAAATTTTTTAGACACAATAGGAAAATTGATCAACTACAACAATAAGTTGTAGCGCCAAAAAGTTCACAGTATGGATAGTGCAACCATTGCAAAGGATACGTACGGAGGTACGATTTTTATATTTTTGCATTAAAATTTTCTGTTCTGAAACCTATAATCGTTAAAAACTGAGTGCAGCCACCTGTATACAAAAATTGATGTGAAGTCAAAATGGATTAAAATCACTATATCGTGTATATTGGGGCTACAAGTTGTCAAGATAATTCAAACACTGACCGACATATTGGGCTAGACCAACGAAATTCATTATATGCGGTATATGGAAGCTGGGGTAATTCGTGGAGCGATTTCACATATTTTCGGTAAAAAACGTATTTGACGTTTACTGAATTTTGCTAAGATATCTTATACTGTCAGCGTCAAATAAAAGTCAACAGTTACGGTAATAGCCCACGTATATTTATTTTACGCCAAAAAAAATATACCATTATCCATAGTTTTTTTCTTTATAACTGCTTCATTCTAATTCTATTTTGTATCCTTGTGCAGATAGAATTTGATTTGCCTTTTGAAATTTGCCGGGAGCTCAGCAATTTGACAATGGGTAATAAACTTCATTGGTTGTGAGAAAATTAGTGATACATTTTAAGAAAAAAGGAAAATCTTTACGCGAAATTGCTTCGATAATTGGAAAAAGCCACAACAAAGTGAAATAAATCATTGATAAGCAAAAAAAGTTTGGTGAATTAAAATATTGACCACGTTCGGGTAGGCCAAATCGGCTCAGTGATACAGAAATACGATCAGTTGTGAGATCTTCAAAAATAGATCTAACTGTCAGTGCCGTTAAAATTTCTGATGAAGTGTCCAGAACATCCGGCTGAACGTTAGTGCCATCACGATCAGGATAGCGTTGCGTGCTAATGGTCACTATGACCGAGTACCGAGGAAAAGACCACACATCTCTACACAGAACCAAAAGTGACGATTGCAATTTGCGGAAAAATATAAAACTAAGAACAAATCGTTCTGAAATAACGTAAATTTTTCTGACGAAAGGAAGTTCGAAGTTTTTGGGAAGAAAAAAAGTACTAAAGTTTGGAGAAATAAAAATCAGGAGTTTGATCAGAAAAACATTACAAGTACATCCACTGTCAAGCATGGTGAGGGTTCGGTGATGGTTTGGGGGTGCATGGCGGCAAGTAAAGTGGGAAGGCTCGTGTTTATTGATTGCACAATGAACAAAACAGATTATCTAAATATTTTAAAAGAAAATTTGTTTTCCAGCGTTGATTTATTGGGCTTAGATCAATCCTGGATCTTCCAACAGGATAACGATCCTAAGCATACGGCAAGAATAGTAAAGGAATGCTTGCTTTACCGTACACATAAACAGCTGAATCACACCCCACAATCAACGGACCCAACCCCCATAGAGCATTTGTGGTAATATTTGAACAGGAAAATAAGAAAAAGGAGTATAACCAGTAAAAATTGTATAAAGGGCATTTTGCAAGAGGTGTGGCCCAAAATTTCCCCAAAAGTAGGCAGTTACAAAGTATTAACTTTGGAATTTTTTTTTTCTTAAACTGTGTTTGGACGCGTGATATACTAAGTATATTTGGTTTTGTTTGTGTTGTTTTTGTACTTGTGAATTTTGTTTTGGATTGCTGTTAAGTTTTTGTAAGTACAATATTTAAGCATTTATAAATGATTATTGATTTGAAAAAATTTTAATATATTTATACTGAAGTAAAGAGTGAAATGTAGGAGAAAAATGTGTACACTTTCTTTTGACGCTGAGAGTATATTGCCCGATATACACGGTATAAAGCCAACCGGAAGGTTGAAATTCTTGTACAAGGTATGTGGGAGCTAGGGGATATATTTATCCACATCCAGCTTTGGTACTACGAAGTACCATTATTGGAAATAGATGCTCTCTGCTGTTACAATAAAAATATTCTCTCCGAATTTCAATACTAGACCTTACAAAATGATCGATAGTTTCGATAAAAAGTCACCCATAAACACCGGAATCCACGTATTGGGTTTTTTGGGCCTTAAAAAGTTATGGTCCGATCTTAACAATTTTTAGACTTGGGATGACATACCTAAAAATTTAATTAATTACCATTAATAATAACTGTAAAATATAATTTTTATATATGGGAATTAGATGTTTGTAGACCGTTTTTGCTCATTTTCACAATATACCGTAAACACAAAAATATACAAAAGTAGTGTTGTGCACCAAATTTGGTTTAAATTGGTCGGATAGTTTCTAAGCTATAATTGATACCGGCTTCTATGAGCCCTTTCCTGCCTTAAAGGATATACATTTTTTTAATTCTTCTGACGTATTTATTTAGTGAATTATCCCACTTTCAGTAATGTCCCACATAACTTACTTCCCATAGCCGGTGTTGCACCGATTTTATCCATTATCACTGATTGCAAGAAGGTGCCAAAAAAATTTGCTCAGAGCGAATTGGGTTAATTGAGCTTTGGTGGTTAGTACGATAAGAACATTAATTTCGTTAGAACCCCTGCCACGCCCACTTTAATGTGATGAACGGCATTTTGTGCGCGCGAAAGTAGTGCGATCATGCTTATCTACAAAACCGAACTTTTTATCGTGCCATGGGACATGCTTACCAAGTGAACGGACAGACAGTCAACCGAAATTCAACTCGTCTCGTCATCTTGATCATTTCAATATATGTATATAATTCCATACCTATCTCGACTAATTTTTGATATTAAAAGCAATCGTGAGGTAAAGGGCGAGACTATTATACTCTGTAGCAATATGTTGCGAGAGTATAAAAACGTACGAGCACGTGCTCCTTAGCACACCTAGTGTGAAAGAAAAAATAATAATAATATTTCGAAAGGTCTATGAAAATAAAATACTTAAATTTTAAATCGATATCTCAAATAGTTTTTGAGTTCGCGCCTTCTAAAATGTTGTCGTACCAGTTAATCTTTAAAACCATTTTCAGAATTTTTGAAATTTGCTTTAGTGATTACTTGGAGACAAATGATCACCGCTTACCTACAAGGCTAAAAACAACCAAAATTTTATGTAAAATTAAACTCTTTTTAAATGCCGCCATTGTTTTTAGTGTCGTCCAAGATTGCGTGTAACTCCGGAAATAACTACATTTTTTCTTCGAAAAATGGATTAATATGTATAAATATACCCTTCAAATTTGAAAATTATTAATATATTTTGTAGCCCTTAAAACTCATTAAACCAATAATAAAAAATCACCGTCATAGAAAAAGCGTCTTTGCATACAATTTTCAGGCGTTCTTTGTTTTCACTGCGCGATTTCCCGTACAAAAACGGGAATCGAATCACTAGCCGAGATTACTCTTTTTCCAAAACAGCTGCTGAATTTTTGACAGTTGCCGTCTATTAAAATATACTACACGACAACAGTTGTTTCTTGAGACTCGCTCGTACACTCCATGTAATGAAATACTCTCAGCTTTCAAGTTTTGAAGGATTAAGACAATGTATTCATTTACTTTATTATTCAATAAAATTTTGTATGACAATTATGTAATCGTTTGCAGAAAGTTTACTCATGGAAATATATTTAAGTTTAACTTTTTTTCGTTTTATATTATTTACTTTTTCGTTTTACTCACTAAAGCACATACAGAAATACATAAAATTTCATGTAATTCATTAGCATAAGTATCTATTTGCATTGAGTTAAAAAACTATTTTCTTGTGCATGAGTATTGAAAATTGTTATAAACTCTTTTTATTTTTAGCTATACAGATTAATCTGAAGTACATACATACATAGAGGACATTTGAGATATTACATGTACCACATACTATATTATATTATTGATTGAATTTTAATCACCAGCGCTTGAAAAGTAAACTCACAATTCGAGTAAAAGTCAATAATTGAAGGTTTAAATAAATTGCTCGGAATAAGCAAATTTCGTTAATTTTGTAGTTTTTTTTTTAATTTACTGAAAATTTAAGACAACACGTTGAAGAATTTTTTTTTTTGTTATTTAAGCATTTGAAAAGTTAAAGCTGACTATATCTTAAAAATTCGAAAGATGGTTCAATGGTGGATACAAACAAAATTTTAAATTAGTATATGAAATGAACAAACATACAATAATTCTAAGTTGAAATTGCAAAGGGAGAGAGTTTAGGATGAACTTTAATATTTTTTACAACAAAAGTAATCGGTTAAATTTTATATTGTACATAAATTTTAAGAATGAAATAATTTATTACACCTCGCATGTGAAATTGATTCTGCGGTTTTATACGGGAAATATATGCAAATCTCCGCCGAGTTCAAAATGTAACATCCAATATATACAAAACAAATTATCGATTTGCGTTCCACGCGAAGTTTAAATGGACCAGTCCAAGTCAATCTTGATCAACTGGAAATACATATGTTAATTTGGCGCTCTGAGGTAAATTTTGTATCAAATTTGTTCATTCAGGTATAATTTGTTTTCTGAAAATCATTGTTGGTATTATTCAAAATTAATTTAGATCACTAACCCTTTTTGATTAGCAAAAAAATCGAAACTAAAAAAATATTGACTCAAGTTTCAATAATGATTTCTACTTGTGAAATATGCGCTTTATTTATATTTTTAATATTAATATACATATACATATATATATTTTTTTGGTGAAAATCTTATTTCATGTCCAACTGTTAAAATACATCTTGTTTTTGTTGTTCCTTAATGTAATGCTTAATTTTCATGTTCACTTTAGGAAGCTAATAGTTTTTCTTTTCACTTATGCTTTTATGTACTTTTTGGTTTCAATGAATCAATTTACTGCATTTTGTACTCTTTTATTTGTGTTTTGTATTTTGTTACAAGTTCTTTGTGTTTGCACCGTTATTGTTTGGTGTATCGGTCAGTGGCTTGCTCAAGTGTCTTCTTGTGTTGTTTGTGTGGGTGTTCGTGTGTTAATTTCGCAAATTTTACTTATACCCTTCTAGTTGTTTAAAAATCCCTGAATTTAATTTTGCTTTTCGTACATAATTTCACAAGTTTTTAATTTTTAATTTTTAAAATTTTTTTTTTAAACCTCAAATTTTTTCCTCTAACCATTTATAGTTTTCTCGTACATACTTTTTAAGTAATGCTTATAATATAAATGTTTGTGTGTGTGTGTGTGTGGGTTTAAGTGTCATCTATAAAATACGTATTCATATCTTTTAGATAGTTTTCACAATTGTTGCCAAATTTTTTTTAAATCAAATTTTAATGCTTTCTCACATTCCAAATGATCGATTAGCTCTCACATTTACCCTCTTTGAGCTTGCATTTCACAATTTTTTCATACATTTATATATATTATATTCATATTTTGTTTAGTTGTAGAGCGGTTTAGCGTAGGCCACTTAGTGGACTCTTTACCCTACAACTGATCTCCATTTAACGGTTTTGCAGAATTTTTCCAGCTTTAATGTATTTTTATATATTTATATAGATATATACCTGTATGTCTCAATGTTTTTGCCAATTCGTCTTTTAAAATTTTGTCTTAGGGTTTTTGTTATTTTTTCTGTATTAAATTTGCGAAGTGTTGCTTCGTTTGGTCAGATTTGTTTCAACTGCTGAAAGTGCCCACATTTTGTCGTTTGTTTTTCAATTTGTTCGCCTTTGAATGGATTCGGCGTCGTCCTGATGTTTTGGTTATGATTGATGTTGTTTCTGCTACTCTTGTTCTTTTTGTTGTCATTTTGCTGTTTGCGATCATTTTTTGGTTTTACGGCGCTTCGCAGTTGTTGACGGGAAATTCTATTTGTTTGGCAACTCCGGTGGACAGTCTGGTTGGTTGGAAGGATGTGCGGCGCGGAAAGCGGGGTTAGCCTCCAACTCACGATCGATACGCAAAATGATCGGGTATGGACGTAGATCGACATGGAATCTATAAAATGCAAGTATGGGAATATGTCGTCAATGATTGTAAATATATGGATTATATAAACAAGGTATTTTACCTTCTTGCATTGAAGACCTGTGGCACCAGACAGCAATCAGCCATCGAAATCTCATCGCCCACACAGTATTTGCCAGCCGAGGTGGAGAGTGCTTTTTCGACAGCACGGAAGCCGCGCGTAATCCAATGTTGTGCCCATTCCTTCTTCTTCTCCTCGCCGACATGGATGAGTACAATCAGATTCTGCAGTGGTTGTATGCCCGAACAGATGATTTCGACAATTTCACGCACTTTTGCGCGTTTGTGCACATCCTGTGGCAACAACGGACGTTGGGGGCGTGTCTCCTCCAGATAGTGCATAATGGCGACTGACTCGATCAGCGTGTGACCATCTGTACATAACAAGAAAAATATATGAAATAAAAGTTTTATTAAATATTTTAAACTACAGGAAGAACGAGTCTTACCGATTTGCAACGCTGGCACCTGCTCCATCGGATTGACCTCACGATACTCATTGCAATGCTGTTCGCCGCCCGACTTGATTAGGCTGATGGGCTTGATGTCGTAGGGTATTTCCTTTAAGTTGAGTGCAATGCGCACCCGCCACGAACAGGAACTACGCCAATACGAGTACAGTATTGGCTTAAATGCCGAGTCGCGGTTTACGGCGTCATTTTGAAAAGAAGAACCAGACAGAGATGCAGACATTTTTAAGATTTTATTTAAACAGTTATAGTATATAATAAACCAAAATATGTTTTAAAGAATAATATTCTTAAGAAAAATTAAATAAGAGACTGTGGATGCTTCGACCTCTCGCCAAGAACTGGAGAAACACGCGATCGCGCTCACATAGATGGCTAAGGAATTTAGTGTTTTGTAAACTGCTTTTATATTTGGTTTGAATTTATATATTTCAATGAATTATAATTCTCATTTGTAATGAAACGGTGTGGTGTCGGGCCCATCGATTCATAAATATTGATATTCTTATGTGTTTATCTACAAAAGTGTTGGTGTAAATGAATACTCATAAAAAAATGTATCAAGAAATCATGTAACAAAGCGAATATACATAAGTGTGTATAAATATCTACACATAAAAGTGACCTGGCCCAACTGGTTTATTTGTTTTGCTGTTTAAGACCACATTTTTAGTTGGCGTTTTTGTTTTTGTTTTGTTTTGTTTATTGCTCTGTTTGCCGCTTATGCAAATTCCGAAGAGAACCGGTAAAATATTAACTTCGTGTTTATTTTTTAAATGTATTTAATGGGAGTCTTCTTAAATATATACAGACAAGTCTTCTTATCACATCGATACACAGCTGGTCTCGTGTAAGTTAATTTGCCAAGTTAAACGAATACTGACGTGAATATATATGGATTGAAACTTCAGATAATATTGGTTGTCATAAAGGCTGATATACTCAAACTACTACTCTCACCAGCGGTATGGCTATTATTGAAAGCAAAAGGCACCCACTTGTGATTAGAAAAGATAGTCACTATTTTTTCTAAAGTTAAGATGACTTTTATCTTATTAATCAAGAGCCTATATTGCTCAAGATTCAATTAAAAAAACTACACCATAAATTATAAGAATATCCAGTTCTCCAGTGCAGCAAGATAAGTAATCTATATTTTTGTACTTATTGGCAAAAAGCCGACTGACACTATCGGCGCTATTCGCATACGTGCGGAATTTGTCGAGCTTTGAATAGCAAGAGGGTTGAAAGAAAAAGCTTTTATAGTCTTGCGAATTTCCAAAATATATTACTCGGTTCCAAATATAGAATCTTACCTAGTTTATAAAAATGTTGGCATTTTCTTTCGGACAGTTTCTAAGCTCTTTTTAAAGATTTATGATTATTTATATTATGCTTCATACTCATAAATATCTTTATACTCATATATATTACAACACGGATGAGCAAATAAAAGATTTAAAATTCGGAAACTTCCGTTTCCTCGGCGAAATATCGCTGAAGAAATGGAGCAACCGAAAAGTATTCACCGTCGAAATAAATATATACAAGGTCAATGAACTCGCCTTAACAAGCGTATACTCCCTAAAAGAACACGTACATATACATGTATTTTATTTACATATATGTATATATACTTATTATATTTGGCAGAGGCACACACCCACACTTGTTAATGACCATTACATCGCAAATGCTATATACAATAATGACCTTCCATACACATAACTACGTCATAATGATGAACCTATGGATGCCACGAGTTGCCCAACTGTGTCGCACCCCAAGGTCGGGTGATTGACCTTTTTCAACGTGAGCATCACGAACATTATGCTTCACATGAATCGGGAGCGCTTTGCTATGTACGCTATGTAACAGCGCCCGTTGTTGGCATTTCAGGACATTCACCTCTTGCTGGCAGGCGCTACATTTAAACATTATAGGCAATAAGTAGGCAGATACATTTTGAGTGAAACTCGCTGGCGGCCTTGCATTATGCGCCTGCTTCCACTTTGTTCGCTGATTTGTTTGTTTTTCGTGTTGCTCCAGCTGATTTTGTGTTTAAATACTGGTTGAATACTATGCTCCTAAAACGCTAAAAGCGAACTGAATGAAATGAGAGGGAGAGTGAAGTCAAAGAGTAAGAGTAAATTGAGGTGCCTGCATTTGTTTAAGTGTGAGTGACATACACGTGCCAAGCTGAGAGCACCTATCACCAACAGCGTTTAGTAGGATTCAGTGGCTCATGTGTTGGAGTGAGAGTGTGGTGAATGTCAGTGTTGAAACGGTAACAGTGGTATGATAAAGTGAAATAACGAAGCGCCTAGAAGCCTGTTATTTAAGCTTTGGATAAAACAGTGTTGCCATAATTGCTGGTATCCATTCTACCTACATTATTATTTATTATATGACATTCTAATTACATTATTAAGGAGAAGCCATACGATTGAGATCACATAATCACTTTTCAGATTCGACTGGTCAAATAAAAGGAACTTCTTTTCAATATCTTTCATTTACTACAAACAGTACATAATATTACTAATTATTGCTCTGACTTACAGTTCCCGAAAATCAATTTTTCATTCTTTCTAGATCTGTTATAATTGTAATCCCTTAGCGATCTTTTCCCTGAATTTGACTATTTTCAACTGATTAATTACTACCCCTCTTCAATATCCTCCTATAAAATACCTTAAGATATAGATTTAATTCCAAATTATTATTATTATTAATTTGTTTTTGTTCACAATGTTTACAATTCATAATAACTTTAATTTTAATTAACTTTACACAATCCATTTTTGTAGTTGGCAATCATATTCGGCCGCAATGGCCACAAGAGTTGCTTTGTGAGTAGAAAATTCGCAAACTTTTAAAACACTCACATTCGCGAAAGTTTCTTTTATCGCAAAATAGCGGTATGAGAGCAACATAACCATGGTTTGAGAAAACATTAACCGCCACAAAAATTTTGCGAGAGGTTTGAGTGATCCGGCACATGCGCAAATAGAAAGTAATACAGAGGAAGTATACAACATGAAAGCATGTTAAATGCGAAAGCAAACGAATGAGGAAGTGTTGCCAGATGGAAAATATTTTGAACGTATTTATATTACAGATATTTATTTCAGATGATTACAGATATTTATTATAGATGTTAGAGGATTTTAACTTAATTTTTCTTAAATATTTTATTTTAACTTCAAAATCTTTAAACAGAACTTCTTTTTCTGAATTACAATTTCTGGCCTTTTCTTACTCATAGGGTTTTGTTTTATAAATGTAAAACAATTTCTTCTGCTTTTCTGTAGTCTCGTTATACACTGAACAGGGCATATCCATTTTGTCAGAAAGTTTGTAGAACCTGGAAGGAAACGTCGCGTCCCTAGCAATAATATACATAAATGATCAGCATGACGAGCTGAGTCAATTCAACCTTGTCTGTCTGTGAGCACGTCTGTGAGTATATATGTACGTAAACTAGTTCATGAATTTTTGAGACATCGGTTTGAGATTCTGCACGCGTCCATTTCTCTTCAAGAAGCTGCTCATTTGTCGTCAAACTGACCGATCAAAATCAAGTACTTGTATTGACAACTTTTTTTATTTGACAAAATATCTTCATGAAATTTGGCATGGATTATTGGCAGCATATAGCTGCCATATAACACAAACTGACACATCAAATTCAAGAATAAGATTTTCATAAATGATATTTTTCCACATTAAGCAATCTTAATTATACTTGAAGCTTGTTTATACAAAACAAAAGGTTGCTAATAAGAACTAACAAAACGTTTTCCAGTGGATACAAGCCATTGTCCTGTTACGTTTTCAGATTTAGTTACACATACATACACACAAGAAATGTATCTCTGACGAGTATTATAGCTTCGGTGTATCCGAAGTTAATGTTTTTTCATATTAATTTTATTTATATGCCGCTCTTTTAAGATAAAAATTAAATTTTTTTATATCATAAAATTCTAAAAATATTAAAATTTTAACCGCGAATTCCCAAAATGTATTACACTTTGTGCAAAAACTACCTTTTGGCCACTCTTTTTTGTCGAAAATTACTCTTTGGTGGGAAGAGAACTTAAGAGCGTGGTATGAGTGAAATTAGCAAATTAACTAATTCTAAGAGAAAACCGCTAAGAAACTTAAAAAAACTCATACAAAATAAAATGGGTAATTAAAATGCAGCGCCAAAAGACAGAGCGAAGTTTCATCCATTCTGCAATGCTCGTGGTTGCATTCTTCCTCTACTTCTCATATAACGGCCATTGAATATTTAAAGCCACACTCATTCTCGTGTGTATGTACGATATATGCAATAACTACAGTACTTACCTTTGCTATGGCCGACAAGGACATAGCGTTATGATGGTACTTTGAATAGTTAATTTTGAAGCCTTTTCTTCTACACACACACACTAACAAAAGTGACTCGCACACTAAAGTGCCGTTACGCTCCCTTCGGTGTGGATTTTAATGCGCTTCTTTCTATGCTATCCCAAAAGGATATGCGGCCACCTCTTTGAGATATCACAATGATAGATTATGTTAAAATATGGCCGACAGCGTTAACGCATAGATGTGTCTGCAAGAACACAGAAAACAACAAAACTTTATTATTTTAACTTTTCGCAAGCGCTGAAAGTTCACTTTCAATATCCGCAATACATTAGGGGTAGTACGGGCGCTGAGGATGAGTGTGGCAAGCCCGTCAAGCTGAGACACCAAAGCCACGCAGCTGCCCGTAATGCATTAATTGATGTGGCAGGCACGCGGTATCACGACACTAACGAGGGCGTCAATCACTTAAGCACATTTGTTTTATATTATGGTTTATGTGCATTCAAAACGCTTTTTGAAAATCGTTTTCGAATTCAATAATATTTTAATTTTGTACTGCAATTGATTTTCCCAAAATTCACTTTGGCTTTGCCTCCACACACGCCGCCGCACACTGTGAGTCCTTTCGCAATGCTTCAAATGCTATGCAAGTACAATATCATACTTTTGTTGTAAATAGCTGTAAGTTGCCGCAAGCGAAACCGCCACAAACTTTCTATTCGAATGGTTGACAACACACTGACAGCGCTATCGTCATACAACACCTCTGTAGAGTTACCGGCTGAGTCAAAGCCA